TAAACTCTTTCCCTTTCTTCTTCTAAGACGGGGAACATATTTTGAAGTTCCCGGCGTGTGGCTGGATCGATGAAGGAGGAGCCGGCACCACAACTCATGGGCGGGGCAGATGGCTTCACAGCAGGAGGAGCCATTAGTGAAATGGCTCCAGAGCCCTGAGGCCATGGGCCGAGCGTGGCCGGCGCAGTAGCACCGCCATTCTCTTTCTTCTCTTTTTCTGATCCTCCTCTGCTTCCTGCGGGTTGTTTGCGTCCTAAGCGCCTATCCCGCTTGTACCCTTCCTCCGCATCGGATGTCTCCAAACTTGATGAGGAAGATCCTGCTTTCAGTTTCACCTTTATTTTTTGCTTCAAACCGGTTCTCCTCTCCCGCTCTGTTTCTGAGAGACTATCCTGGGCAGACTGAAGGGCTTTGTCACTCTCTCTGACCGCTCCCTTACGGAGGGCATAAACCATCTGCAAAAATTTCACCAGAGAGACCTGTGCGCCCATGTCTATAACCAGAAGCAGTGGCTCATATACCTCCGATTTATGCTCCTAGTCACCCGAAAGTTCTCCCTCTCAGAGCTCCTTACCTGTTTTTTGGCCGCAGTTCTGACTTCCTCCCGTTCGAAATGGGAGGCCCCCTCCAGGTCCCGGGTTTCCGGCACCAGTTGTCGCGCCCACGTGTCTTACCGCCCAGCAATAAGACGCAGACGCGAGTGAAGTCTTCTGCGGTAAAATTTATTGCGAGCACCAAGATGAGGAAGAGAGAGAGGGGCGACCCCAGCAGGCTGTCTGCTCTTATGTGCTGACTGGCCCCGCCTCCGCCGATGATAGGTCGGCGTCATGATCACGCAGGGTCCTGGGCGACCTGATTCGTCAGTCCCCAGTGTTCACGTGCCGGCCACGCCGCAGCTCACTGCGCATGCGCTAGGCACCTGCGCAGTACCGCGAAGGCTACGTGACTCTCCACCACGCACGAAGGTGTGGCTTCTTCGGCCGGCGCCATTTTAGGTACGGCATGTGGCCAGTGCATACAGATGCGGCTTGCAACAGGAAAACTCTCCCTGTCTCTGTCTCTGTTTCTCTCTCTCTGCCTTTCAAAAAAATAGAGATAGGGTCCCGTTTTTCAGAATCTGCTTTTTGCTTCCTGGCCTAATGCAAGCACATGGCTTAGGCTCTGCTGTTTGAAAAGCCACATAGTGTGATGATCAAAGAGGGTGGTTGGAGGTGGGAGCGTTGGGAGTCAGGAAGCTGGAGAGAAGGTGGCCTGAATTCCAGTTCTGTCACTGTATGAATCAACTGGGGTAAGCCTGGCTTCACACCTGTAGAACACTGGTGACGGTAATGGTTCTCATTTCATGGAAGGGCCAAGAGAAGAGACAGTGTAGCACCATGGAAGGCACACTTAAAAGAGTGTGCTGTATCAATCAAGCACTCACAGTATTTCTAAATGTGTTGCAACAAATTGGAACCTTAGAATGCTGTACCTTTTCAGTCCTGAGTGTCCATTTAAAAAAAATTCAGGTTTTAAACAGCCCAGAAAAGGCCATGGAAAGCTACACACAGGCATACAATTGGCATGGGTCGGGGGAAGACCAGGCTGAATCTGTCCACGTCATCCATTGGCAAATCAGGCACCAGTGTGGGACTACCCATTTCGGTCGCAACAAAGACTAGTGCACAATACAGAATGTCAGGGTGAGGGTGCCTGTACTGGAAGGGACCACAGTGCCCAACCAGCCTGAGAACAAGAAAGGAAGTGGGCAGAGCCGGCAAGGGGAATAAAGGAGGGTTCCTTTGCTGGACAGCTACTTCCGCAGGAGAGCATAGGCTGGGATGGGGGCAGACCAGACTAGGCAGAGCTACCACACCTGTGTGCCTCATGTGGACTAGATCAGGGAAAAGCCAGGCTCGGCGGATTATTCCTACTGGTGCAAACAAAATTAAAGTGGGCGAGGGTTGTTTGGGCTTAGCTGCAGCATCAGCTGGAATCTGGGAGTGGGAGAGGTCTGGGAGGGAAATAGTGGGCTCATCCCTCTTGGGTTACCACTTCCACGGGAGGACATAAAACTAAGATAGCGGCTGGGGTGGAATGGGGTGTGGGACAGACTGGATTACTGCTACACATACTGGCAAACCAGGGTAGGGGGCGGGCCTGGTGGGGGTTATTGTGGGTCGCTCCAACTAGGCTGCAGCTCCCACTGGTTTATGTGAGGGCCAAGTATGTGCTGGGCAGAACCAGGCTGGACTGCAACACCAATTGGTTCCAGTGGAAGTTGGGAGTGAAAACAGAACCAACCCAGCAATTGCAACCACCAGCTGATCTGGGCGATGGACTGTGCCAGGCCCTGTGCTTGCTAGCACATCCAAGAAGTTTTTTTGGAGATCTTCCTAATCTACATGCTGGACTCAGAACCCAAACGAAGAAAAGAGAAGACAGAACAGGTCAACCAACTATCTCAGCTAGGATGGACTATGTCAATCAGTGGATTTTTCAAAGACCTCATAGTGCTTGGAGTGGCAAGATTGACAGCAATTCATAACTGTTGCAATATCAAAACCACTTGAGCAAGACCTCAGAGCATGCCCTACATCCGGGACCTGGGGAGGGTGGGAAATTTGGTGGGCCTTCTCCCTTAATATCCCCCTTTAAACATGAAGGTAACAATATGGAAAATATACTAGTATTATCCACTTTCCTGTAGCCCTTGAACCTTCTTACCCTAATTAACTATGTAAAGATTGTCAAAAAAAAAAATTCAGGTTTTTGTCTTTGATTTAAGTTTGGCTTAGCTACATTCCTTCTCTACTCAGGTTTTCAGAGTGTTTGTCATCAAGGATGTTGAACCTTACCATGAGCCTGTTGAGATGATTTGTTTGTCCTTCCCTCTGTTAATGTGATGGGTCATATTTATAGATTTGTGTGGTTAAACCACATGTACATTCCGGGAATAAAGACCACCTGATCCCAATAAATGACCCTGTTGGTGTGCTACTGTATTTGGTTTGCTAGTATTTTATTGGGGATTTTTGTAATCACGTTCTTAGGGAATTTGGCCCAGTAATTTCATTTTCTTAAATTGTTGTTTTCTGGAGTTGGTATCAGGGCAGTGCTGATTTGGAGGTGTTCTCATCAATTGTTTGGAACAGTTCGAGAAGGATTTGTATTATCCTCCTGATTGTTTTGTAGCATTCAGCCATGTTGCCATCTAGCCCTGCACTTCTAGTTGATAGTAGATTCTTTTTTGTTAGTAATTCAGTTTCCTTACTCTCTTCAGATTTTCTGTTTCTTCTTGATTCAGTCTTGGTATGTTTCCAGGAATTTCTCTATTTCCTCTAGGTTACTAAATTTGTTGGTATGTAACTATTCATCATAGATTCTTAGGGTAATTTGTGTATCAGTGGTATCAATTGTGATGTTTTCTTTTCACTTTTTGATTGGGTTGTCTGTCTCCTGATTAGTCCAGCTAAAGGCTTCTCAATTATGCTTTTATTTTCCAAGAATCAACTCTGACTTTTGTTGAGCTTTTTTCCTATCGTCTCATTTATTTTTCTGTAGTTTAATTCCCTTCCTCCTGCTGACTTTAGGGTTGGTTTTTCTTTTTCTGGTTCCTTGAGTTGTAAGTTGGATTGTTTACTGAGTTTCTCTCTTTTTGTTCAATCCCAGTGTCTATAGCTAAAATCTCTTCTCTTAGGATTGCTTTTTTTTTTTACCAAAGTTTTGGTATGTTATATTTCTATATCCATTGGTGTCAAAAACTTTAAAAGTCTTCCATTTTTGTTTTTTCTTTCACTTGCTGTTTGTTCAGTAATATGTTAACTTTCATGTGTTTGTGAATTTTTTCAATTTTCCTCTCATTACTGATTTCTAGTTCATATCATTATGGTTAGAAAAGATACTTGGTATGATTTCGGTCTTTCTATTTGTTGAGACTTGTTTTGTGGTCTTGGTGATCTATTTTCTTTCAACACACACGCCCAGGCTCTCTTTGGGAACCATTTACATAGACTGTGATTTTTCTTTCTTTCATTTTCAGTTGTGTGTCTGTGAAGTCAGCATGAGTGTCTTGTAGGGAGCAAGCAATTAGATCATGTTGGACTTACTATACTTTTTTCTGCCTTTTGATTGGAGAATTTGATCTATTTGCATTCAAAGTAATTATTGATAAGTAAAAATTTACTGTTGCCATTTTGTCAATTACTGTCTTACTCTTGCATAGTTTCTTTGTTTCTGTATTTTTTCTTGTTAAGTTCATTTATAATTTAATGCTTTTTGGTAAAGATAATACTTTTTTCGCATTTTGTGCATATACTGATTTTTTTGTAGTTATCACAAGGCTTGAAAAATATCTAGAGTTGTATGTAATTGAAATTCAGTTATTATCAACTAAAATAGAAGAGCACCAATTTGTGTTAACACAAAACAAAACCAGTTGTCTTGGGAGATATGGTTGCCATTCTTGTTACACTCTCAGCTTACAATTGTTATTATTACACCATGTGCTATCACTCATAACTACGTTTTTGAGGTAGAATGGCATTTCTCACTTAATTGAGTGGTTTGATGACTGTGATCAGAAATAGGGCGTTTTGCTTTTGTCTTTTTGTGATCTGTTTTCTCTTAATTGCTCATTAAGATATATTTTCAAGGACGGATCCTGTTTTTCTTTCATTATTTTATACTCCTGTCTGAATGCCCTTCTTATTCCATCTTAATTTTATAGGAGTTAAGGTTTTTCAATTGAAATACATTCTACATATGCTTAGGTGGGAAGTACCTATAATCGCTGTGATGCAGGATGGGCTGGGCAGTCCGCAGTTACTTCTTCTGTGACCTGTGCGCTTCCTCCCATTTCATCTCTATTGCTTTAGCTCCGTTCATTCTGGCATCTACCTAGGATGCTTGCTTTGAATGTGCTGGTGCGTGGTGGCCTTTCCTTCCCGAGTGTGACCTTAGGACCTCCCACGGGCCCTGTAATCCTAATGACCATTTTCATGGGGTGTGCTTTCCCACAGAGATGTCCACAGAAGACGAAGAAGAAAAGCTCATCTATGAGGCAGTGTTAAATCATTTCAAGAGCTGCAGAGTGGAGATCTCACATGCAATAACGCACACATTTCCTTTCCTGCATGGCCTCCGTGACCGTGGACTCATCACGGATAGAATGTTTCAGGTAAGTGAAGTCCACTGTGTCACAACCTGGTGTACTAGCAGCCACTTAATTTATGCTCTGATATTCCAGATTCAATTTCAAGTTACAACCAGTGACAGACAGGTGTTTCTGTAAGTGCTCCTGTATCACTCATGCCCTGCTTCTCCCAGACGCAATGGTGTTATGTGACGCCCTCTGGAGGTGGGCGGATGCACTGGTGATAAGCCAGAGTTCACACAATTGCACTCTTAGATGGGTGCTGTCTTGTATATGTCATACCATGTAGTTCAAACAATCATTCATTGTAACATAAACTAAATGTTATAAATAATTTTAGTGGATTAATGGTTTTACTGGTTTACTGAAACAGTTACTGGCACAGCACTTTATTTCAATTAATGTTGATTCAAAATATCTAAGTCCAAAAGCCTTAAAACTCATTGGGATGAATTTAGAAGTAGAGGCTTGCTTGGTTTTTCTTTCATTTGTGTGTGTGTGTGTGTGTGTGTGTGTGTGTGTGGCACTTGTGTAGTCTTAAGAGTTTGAGTAGGGCCCAGCATGATAGTGCAGTGGCTAAATCCTCACCTTGCATGGGCCGGGATCCCATACTGGGCACCAGTTTGTGTCCTGGCTGCTCCACCTCCCATCCAGCTCCCTGCTTGTGGCCTGGGGAAGCAGTGGAGGACGGCCCAAAGCCTTGGAACCCGGTACACGTGTGGGAGACCTGGAAGAAGCTCCTGACTTTTGGATTTGGATTGGCTTAACTCTGGTCATGGTGGCCACTTGGGAAGTGAACCAGCAAGTGGAAGATCGTTCTCTCTCTGTGTGTCTCTATCTCTGCACCAAAAATTGCCTTTTCAATAATAATAAGTAAATTTAAAAAAAAAGAATGAAACTGACTTCTGGAGCTTGTTGTAGCTTAATATTCTGTGTTTTTGTATTTTGTATTTTTTAAGGATGCTGAAGAATCTTGGAGAAACATGATGCCTGTTGAACATGTGGTGTATGATGTTCTTGAGAAACTGGAGAAGTTTGACGAGACTGTTTTCGAGGCAGTGTTCAGCGAGGTCAACCTGCAGGAATACCCCAAATTAGTTCCTGTTCGTAAAAGCTTTGAAATTGGTAATTATGTTAATTGTCTACCTTTAGGAGTTTAGGGTAAAATATTTTCAGCAAGCATGTACTGAGTTTCTAACACAAACCACAGACTGTGCTGGACAGTGGAGATAAAGTACTTGTCAAGACAGACGCGGCATGAACCTTCTTGGAGCTTCTGGCATGATAGCAGGGGTACAGCCGCCACTCAGAGATCTGCTGAGCCAGGCGTTTAGAATAACAAGATGACCAGCATGACACGGGCACCACGGTTACTTAGGAGGACACAGGACAAGTCACAGAAAATCCCAATGAGCAGAACCAGTGGCTTCTGTTCCACTGGAGCCCTTGTGCTGGTCTACACTGCAGCCCACCCCATTGACTGCAGCCTGATTTGAGCGATAGACAGTCTAACTAACTGTGGGTGCGGGACCCAGCTTGGCTTGGTACTCTGTGCTCATGGGGTCGGTCTCTTGTAAAAACCTCCCCAGCCAGTTTCAGGGACACCCAATGGGGGCAAGGCCAATTGTAAGAGTCACCACACTGAAGGGAGATCTCCTCACCCCTTACTCTGCTTTCTAAACAATAAAAGAATCTTTTTTAAAAAGAGGTACCAGAGAAAAAACCCCACATGATTCTCTTTTATTGAATATGTTGCTATCTGCTTTCTCTCTCTCAGCACTCTTTTTTTTTTTATTGTTGTTTACATTGTATTATGTGATACAGTTTTATAGGCACTGGGGATTCCCCCCTCCCCTGCCAAACCCCTCCCCCCATGGTGGATTCCTCCACCTTGTTGCATAACCACAGTTCAAGGTCAGTTGAGATTCGTTCCTTGCAAACACATACCTAGTCTCTCAGCACTCTTTAGGTAACACAGCCCACAGTGCTTCCACTTCTGTTTTCTCCAGCCTTGCTTGTCTTTTTCTGTCTGGAAAACATAAAACCTCCCTTGCTGACATGCCATCTCCCATGGACTGATGGGGAACGTTCAGTTCTGTGGGATGCACTGATCCGGAAACTGGAGAATCCTAAGCAGGTGGTTTTGTGACTTCCATGGTTCCTGCGAAGATCTCTAACCGCCTTCTCATCTCTGTCTTCAGAAGTCAACCGCAAGCTTCAATTCCAGAACAATGTCAGAGGCCACATAGAGGAGAATTCCAGGATTCAGCTGCCACTGGAACAAGGTAACAAGCATTTCTCACTTGTAGAGGGAACGGAGCCAGCTGGGTTCTGGACAGAGAGGATAAGCCAGGGATGGAACGTGGGAGGACACGGAGAAGGTCAGGGACACGAGGGAGGACATTGAGAAGGCAGCCGAGGTCAAAGTGGAGGAAGCCAGACTTGCACAGCTGAAACACCTGGAAACAGTAGTGCTAGAGAACCTTCCAGACAGGAGAGCTAGGGGTGGAGCCCTGAAGGGCTCAGAAGCATGGCCCGTGGCCAGCGTTAAAGAGGAGCCCAGATGAAAAGTTTCCACTATCTGGTCTTTGTCCTCTAACACACAGCATCTGAATATGTTAAACTGGTAACACGTGTGACTCCATATCCTTGATAACTATCTGTGTGTGCAGGTGCCAGGAACAGGGAGGGATGAATGGAGGAGGAGAAAGGGTTCAAGGCTGCAGGGTGTGGCAGGGCTCCCTGAGGGATCCCCAGGCACGTCGGGAGTGGAGAGCAAAGGGAGACAAGGAGAACCCTGCAGCTCACAGCCCACTGACACAGAATAAAACGGATGATTTGATGTACCGAGCATATATAGCTCTTCATATACTTTTTGTGGTAAGAACACTTAAAATCCGTTTTCAGTAATTTTTAAGAAAACGAGATGCTGTTGTGAAGCACAGATGAGCTCTGTGATGGTCCTCTTGTACCTGGCTTGTTTCCCTCAGTGTTGTGTCCTCCGGGTCATGTGGGTTGATTCAGGTGATAGGAGCTTCTTCCTTTTGAGGCTGAGTCGTATTCCTTTGTGTAGATGTCATCTTTGCGCATTCCTCTGTCGCCGGGCACTTGGGCTGACTTCACGCCTCGACTTCTGTGTCTAATACTGCTCTGAACGGGGGAGTGCAGGCACCTCCGTGACATATTGACTGCATATACTTGGGATAAATATCCAGGAGTGTGACTGCTCTGTCTTACGTAGTTGATGTGTGATTTTCAAGGAATCTCCATTTTGTTTTCCATGATGGCTGTACTATTTATAACCCAGCCAGCAGTAGCACCGGGGTTCCCGTTTTTAGACATCACCACCGGCATCTGTCCTCTCATGTCTTTCTGCTAAACACCAATGCAGCCAGCGTGAAGTGACATCTTCTCATGATTTTACGTTATGTTTCCCGGGTGGTTAGTGGTGCTGTGCATTTCCCATTTACACGTTGGTCACTTGTATAGGTCCTTTTGTGCAGGACTTTTTTGATAATAAAATACCCATTATTAATTTATTATTGAGTTGCTTAAGTTAGTTCCATCATTTGGGTCTCAGTCATTTAGCAGATAGATTTGCACATGTCTTCTGCCATAGTGTAGGTTGTCTCTTACCTGTGGGTTATTTTCTTGACTCTACAGAGCTTTTGGCTTTAGATAATCTTTGTTGTTGATTTTTGCTTGTATTGATCATACTTTATGTGTCACATTGAAAATCATTGCCAAGACCCATGATATGTAGCTCTTCCCCATGTTTTCTTCTACAGTTTTAGGTCTTAGATTGAAGCCTTTAATTCATTCTTGATGGATTTTTTCAGGTGATTTTGATGAAGGTCTAATGTCACTCTCTGGTCTCGTGTTATCCAGTTGTCCCAGTACTGCTTATTGACAAATGGTCCTTTCCGCATTGTGTGTTCTTGGCACTTTTTCTGAATAACAGTTGACCATGCAAGAGTTTATTTCTAGACGCGCTGTTGTGCTTCATCTATTTAGGTGTCTGTGTTTATGACAGTAGCGTACTGTTTGGCTTACTGTAGTTTTATAGTGTACATGTGTATTTTAAAGATTTATTTATTGTTGATGAAAGAACTACAGAGAGCAGTAAAACACACACATTCACACACACACACACACACACACACACACACAGGTATCTTCCATCTTCTGGTTCATTCCCCTGATGGCCACCCTGACCATAGCTGGGCCTTCCAAAGCCAGGAGCTGGTAGCTTCTTTCAGGTCTCCATGTCAGTTCAGAGAGCCAAGATCTTGAACATCCATTGGTGCTTTCCCAGGCCATTAGCAGGAAGCTGGATAGAACTGGAGCAGCTGGGACACAAACTGGTGCCCATATAGGATGCAGGTTTCACAGGTGGAGGATTAATATATTACTCCACTGCACTGTCCCAGTATTTCTTTGCTGTCAGATACTGTGACGCCTTCAGCTTTGTTCTTTGTCATCAAGTTTGCCTCAGCTAGTCAGTCTGTTGTGTTTCATAAAAATTGTAGACTTAGTTTTGTTTTGCTATATCTGTAAAAAAAAGTCATTGGAATTGTGAAAAAAAATTATATTAACTCTATAGAGAACTTCAGTACTACACACAGTCCACAATATAAATTTTTTGAATTCATGAACATGAAAAATCTTTCCATTTATGTTGTCATCTTTTTTTTCGAGATGTATTTATTTTTATCGGAACTGCAGATATACAGTGAGGAGGAGATATAAAGAGGAAGATCTTTATCTGCTGGTTCACTCCCCAAGTGGCTGCAATGGCCATAGTGGAGCTGACCTGAAGCCAGGAGCCAGGAACTTCCTCTGGGTCTCCCATGTGGAAGCAGAATGCCAAAGCTCTGGGCCATCCTTGACTGCTTTCCCAAGCCACAAGCAGGGAGCTGGATGGGAAGTAGGGCTGCTGGGATACACACTGGTGCCAATATTGGATCCCAGCAGGCGTAAGTCAAGGACTTCATCCACTAGGCCATCAAGAGCGGGTCTATCTTGTCATCTTTAATTTTTTTTAATCAAAGTTTTAGGATTTTTAGTGTACACATGTTTTACTCTAAATTTATTTCTCTGTATTTTGTTCTTTATCAGTTCCAATGTAAATGGGATTTTTTTTCCAGAGTGGCCATGGTTAAAAATGGAAAAGCAACATTTATAGAAACACCGCTGACTTTTTTTTCCTTCTTTTAAAATTACTGTTATCGTGCCCGGTGTAGTGGTGCAGTGGTCAAGGTCCTCGCCTTGCAAGCCCAGGATCCCATATATGCGCTGGTTCTATCCCGGGAGCTCCACTTCCCTTCCAGCTCCCTGCCTGTGGCCCGGGAAAGCAGTCGAGGATGGCCCAAACTTTGGGACTCTGAGGCCCAGAGGAGGCTCCTGGCTTCGGATTGGCATGGCATCGACCGTTGCGCTCACTTGGGGAGTGAATCATCGGACGGAAGATCTTCCTCTTTGTCTCTCCTCTCTGTATATCCGCCTTTCCAACAAAAAAATGATAAAAGTAAATCTTTAAAAAAAATAATAAAATAAAATTACTGTTATCATTTTATGATACAGTTCCATAGGCTCTGGGATTTCCCTCCCACCCTTGTCAAGTCCCCTCCTCCTCTCCCAAGTTTACCTATATCATTACTATAAGTTCTTCATAAGGAGTCATATGTCCATCATTGTGGGCATGGTAATGGCAGAGGGGCTAGCATTGTATTGTCAAGATGTAATTAACAGTTTCATTGGGAGTTCATCTTTGGTCTGGAAGTAGAGATACATACTGCATTGTATCCTCACATCTGGATATGACAGACTCCATTTCACAGTTACTGTACATCTCCTTAAGTGAAAAGCCACAATACAAAATCAACAGCAAAAAAAAAAAAAAATAGAGATTTACAATGCCATGAAGTTCAATAACATGATACCAGATATGAATATGAAAGTCTCCATTACAAAGTTACTGTACATTCCCTTAATTGAAAAGCCATAAAACAAAATGAACAACAGGAAACAAAGAAATTTAAAATGCCATGAAATTAAATAACATGTAAAATAAAATCAAGAACCTTCTTGAAGAAAATGATGCTCCTGTATGTTCTACGAGTCAGTGAAGAATTTAATGGGAAGAACATGTTTTGAATGGATAAATTAAAGATATATATATAAAATCCATGAGATATGGTTTCTGCTGATCTTTGTTGGTGAGATATTTCTCCTGTAGGCAACAAATAGATGGGTTTTGCATTTTTAATGCATTTTGGGTAAGTATGACATTTGACTGAAGAGTTAATCCATTAACATTCAGGATTAATATATAAGGGTGGTAATTTGGTCCTGTCATTTTAGCAATGGGTTGTTCGTTGATTTAGTCTTGTGTTGTTATTTCACTGGGATGTTCTTCACATTTGCCTTTGGTTTTGGTAGGCGCTATTCCTCTTCTCTGTCAAGAGAACATCTTTAAGTATCATGCGTAGGTCGGGTCAGAAAGAGGCATATTCTTTAAATTTTTTTGCTTTACTGTGGAAGAATTTTATTTTATTTTCAAAGACAAAGGAAAGCTTTACTGGGTATGTAATCCTGGGCCGACAGTGTTTTGCTTTGAGATTCTGGAATATGTTGCCCCGTTTTCTTCTGGCCTATGGAGTTTTTGTGAGAGATTTCCTGTGAATTTAACTGGCATTCCTTCATATGTCAATTGATTTTTTTTTCACATGCACATTTCAGGATCTTTTTCTTATGTTTGACTGGAGAGAGCTTGATTATCATGTGTCGTGGTGGAGATACTTTTGGTCAATCCTGTTGGGTTTCTGGATGTTGTTTGCCAATTCTTTCTCTAGATTAGGGAAATTTTCCCTTATTATTTCATTAAATATATTTTTGAACCCAGCTTCTCTTTCTGCACCTTCTAGCACTCCCATAACTCTTACATTTGGCCTTTTAATAGTTTCTCTTAATTCTTAAATACTTTTTTGAGCTTGACCCAGCTCTGCTTCCAGCTTTTTGTCTGTTTTCCGCTGGTGAAAGGAAATATCTTCCAATACTGAGATTCTTTCTTCTGCCTCCTTCATTCTACTTTGGAGACTCTCCATTATACTTTAATTTTTGCTTGACTGTATTATTAATTTCTGATATATCAACTTCCATTTGATTCATTTCCTGTGTGACATAGTCCTTAAATTCCTTGAATGCCTGCTTCATATGCTTCTCGTTGATAAGAAGCTTTAAAACAAGTGTTTTGAATCTGTATCCTCCACTTTCTCGATGTTCCTCAGTTAACTCTGAGGCTTTGATTCTTTGTAGGGAAACTTCAGTAATATTCATTGTGCCTTTGTTTCTTCTTTTGCTCTTGGTCATTGTGCTTCTGATGATCAGACTCTTCTCCTTGGGCCAGGTTTCTAAGCTGTGTCACCCACAGCTCTATAATTCGATTTTTCTTATTTGCTAAAGTTACTTGTGCCACTCCCTCCAGCGAGTTCCAGTTCTGGGATCTTATGTTAGACTTCCACTGTGGTCTCCATAGCCCCAGTTCCCGGCTTACCAGTCTCCAGCTCCTGTGATACCGTACTGAGGCTGCACCATTGTCCGTACAAATTTTTCTCCCGCTTGTAGGGGTTTGAGCAGTTCCCAGGATTACAGAGACACAAGGAGTCCTATATACCTAGGTTGTTGGTGGTGCTGCTCTTGCTGGAACCTGTTGGCCATTAGGTCTGAGGGCCACACGGACCTATTTTGACCTGTATGATGCCAAAGTTGATATTATTTTCCCTGTGGGACAATTGCTCAGTGAGTACGCTCAAGCTCAGTACAGACACAACTCACCGTGTTCCTTTACTCCTTTTTTTGTTCTTAAAGATTTATTTATTTATTGGAAAGTCAGATATACAGAGAGCAGGAGAGACAGAGGAAGATCTTCCATCCGATGACTCACTTACCAGATGACCGCAATGCCTGATGCTGCCGATCCGAAGCCAGGAGCCAGGAACTTCCTCCAGGTCTCCCACGCGGGTGCAGGGTCCCAAATCTTTGCGCCATCCTCTACTGCTTTCCCAAGCCACAAGCAGGGAGCTGGATGGGAAGTGGAGCTGCTGGGATTAGAACCAGTGCCCATATGGGATCCCAGGCGTGTTCATGGCGAGGACTTGAGCTGCTAGGCCATCGCACCGCCAGGCCCTTGTTTGTGTTTTAATAGACCTTGCATCATACAGCCATATAGAAGTGTCTCTTCTTTGTTCATACTGACATTGCAAGGAACTTCCTCTTGGATCCATTATTGTTGGACTCCATTAGTTTTAGTATGCTGTGTTCCCATTTTCATTTCTTTCACGGCTTAACAATGTTTTCCTTTCAGTTTCTTCAGTGAGATAGATGCTGGTTCTTCTAGAGTGCATTTTTGCATTTTTGGATTATTTATTTATTTGTCTTTATTTGAAGGACATAAATTTAACGCAGCAGTCATCAGAAAGCTAGTACAGACTGAGTCGGGTTCCCATTGGGAAAAGTCGGGCACTGTATTGTTTGTATGGTCCTTTAACATCCTCAGGTAGTCAGCACTGATCTACACAGCCCTGTACCTCCTCATGTAGTCAACCCTTGTCTGCATATCCCTGTCTCTCGTACAGTGACTCATACTGGCCGTGGCTCAGGCAGCATTCAAGATGTGTTGATTCCCATAGTGACAGATCTCTGCCCACAGTGTCTTCTAGGGTCATTTCTTCATGTATCTGCAGACTTCCATTCAAACACTGAATAGCATCTCTAGGTAACCATCAGTGATTTCTTGCTCTGTAACATAACAAACCATGCCAGAATGTACAGGCTCAGATCATCTTCGTTGAATTTTCTTCATCGTATCTGTCAAATCCTGTATAAGTACCCCTAGCCTGTCCAATATCTTCATCCCCAGCAGGATCGCTCTGCCTCAGCTCCCTGCCACTCTCACTCACATGGAGAAAGAGTCTCCTGTCCGGCCTCTTCCTCCAATCCTGCTCTCCTCACACCCATCCTCCGCACTTCAGCTGAATGAGTCTTTCAAATATGCAACCCAGGCCGGATGATTTTCCTCGTTAGAATTCAGGTCCCTCTTGTGGCCTCCCCATCAGGTCACCATTGCTTGGCTAGGTACTGAAGGGGGCCTGCCTTGCAATCAGATTCCATCTCCTGCTTCTCAGCCCACACACAACAATCCCGTCCTGCCCAAATTCCTTGACCCGTTTTAGTGCCTAGCTCTCTCTCTCTTACACTTCAGTCTTTGCATATGCTTCAAAAATAGTTCAGGGTATCTTCTCAGATTGAAAATATACCTACCTTAGATCTTGCAGAGACCAGTAGAAAGGTGTGCTGTGTTCATTCCGTAGAAAAGAATGATACAGCAGCACTGTTCGTAAAAGCCAAGCACAGCCCAAATGGATAGAAATGTGTTTATTTTGTATGGTGTATACTATAGAGCAGTGAAGATGGCTATACAAAATGAGTATAATGCCTTTTATAACTATGTTGAGTAATATATATGAGTAAAAGAGACAGAAAGTGTGTGTGTGTGTGTGTGTGAGAGAGAGAGAAAGAGAGAAATGAGAGAGAGAGAGAGAGAAGAATTCTTCTGGGAGTATCAGAATATTAAGAGAGTATGATTCCATTTGTATAAACTGCATTAAGAGGTAAAATTAATCTTGGTGTTGGAAGTTGAGATGGGGATTCTCCTGGGGCAAGATGGCGGGGACAGGGAGTGTGAGAGGTCCGTGGGTGGCTCCTATGGTGCTGATCATCTGCTTCTGGATCAAACCGTTTGCTTAGCGTGCGATCACTTAATACCCTCTGTTATTTATGTGTGCTCTACTGCAAGCATAGTCTTTATTTTTTTAAATAACAAGGGAAATACAGATTGAAAATTGATATAATAAGTAGATGGGTGAAAATAACAAGAGTCAAAAGGGACAGCTAGGGAAGGATTCATAAAGAGCCGCAAAAGAGGGGTGGAGTGAAGCTTAAACACAAGCATTGAGATGGACGCAGAGAGATTTCCTAACGACGGTAAAGGCATCCTGAGAAAGGGGCAGTGAAAAGTACCGAGTAAGAGATGGTAAGGGGACTGCTGGAGAAACAGATGGTGATGGAGCCACTTGGAGTAACAGATGGTATGGGAGCCCCAAGCAAAGATGGTTGGGTGTCCCTGGATTATTAGACCATGAGTGGCTCCTGAAGTAACAGACGGTGAGGGGACGAATGGAATAAAAGATGGCCATATGCCGCTCAAGTAACAAACAATGAGATCCTGGAGTAATAATGGTTAGTGGGCACATGGAGGAACAGATTGTGATGGGACCCTGTAAAAGATGGTGATGGGGCCCTGAGTAATTGATGATAAGGGGGCCCATAGAGTCACAGATGGTGAGGGGACCAATGGAATAAAAGATGGGCTGGTGCCTCTGTGATAACAGATGTCGAGGGAGCCCTGAGTAACAGAGTGTGAGGTACCCCTAGAGTTATAGATGGTGAGGATGTCCCTGGACTAAGAGATGGTGAGATGGCCCTGATAACAGATGGTGTGTGGCTAGACCCCAGGAGGAACAGGTGGTGAGGGAGCCACAGGAGGAACAGATGGTAAAGGGTCCCTCAGTAACTTAGGGTAATTTCTTATTTCTCTTTGCTCCAGGTTCAGTATCCCCTGGCCCTGTAATCCACATGAACTCCTCTCCTTTGCTTCTGATGGATATAAAGAAGGAAAGGGCAATTTTAGACTCAGGAGCCCAAGCAGGAACTGACTGCAAGCAGCCCTCTGAGATCATAGGTAAAGTGACTGAGAGAGTTTTGCTTAATTGTGATTCCCAGGTGACCAGCATTGGGGCTGAGGAACTCCAACGGGGAAGGTCAAACAGAGCATGTGCCCGGGATGCAGGCTGAAGGGGAAGGTTCCGCACTGTGTCCGAGCTCAAGGGAGGCTTTAGTTCAGCAGAAGGGATGCCTGAGATTCAGAGAAATGGATGTTGTGAGTATTGACATCAGAGAAACTATTTTCAATAAAGAGAGGAAGGCAAGAGGCTAGGCGTCAAGTAACTGGGACAACAACCAGGAAACAGTGAGTGTGGAGGGAAAAGCAGCAGCAAGACGAACAGGTGTAGGGAGACACGGGTGCCAGGACAGGAGAATGGGACAGTCGGGTGTAGAACCCAGTAGAAAGCTAACATAGGAGTGAGAGGCAAGTGTGAGTGTGGGGACAGACATGGAGTGAGGGTGGAGGTGGAAGATTCTGGTGGGCTTGGTGAAGCTGCCCACTCTGCGTCACTTTGGTTAGCTTTCGGCTTAGGGCCTGCAAGCACCTGCCAGTCCCACACATTCAAGGCATCAGCCAGGGACTGAGTTCCCTCAGCCTCTCGGGTGTTCTGATGATGCTCTTTGCTGCCGCTCGAGACTAAGGGAGAGTTTTGCTCCTTTGTGCAGTCATCCACAGCAAGGAATCTGAAGCGCTCACCCATGAAGACCCGCCCCCAGAAGCCTCCACTTCAACCGCGGGAGGTGAGCCTGGTAAGGAAGGGCCGGCAAGGCTTGGGCGGCGGGAGTCAGAATGCAGAGTCATGTTTCCCTAAGTGTTGGATTCTGGGTCTATTGTCTACGATGGTTCCAGCTTATCCTAGGAATCCCATCATCTGCATTCATGCTACTCGACTCTTTTAGGAAATGCAGGGAATGAAAATTGCAAGAATTTATTTTTGAGAATTGGACCATGCTTTGGATGTATGTAGGGATAGGATAGCAAAATGATGCATCTGTCTTTAAGGTTCGTTTCTATGTCTACAAGGTTTTGGATATATGCAGTGGTGTCTATGGAGGACAGAAAGCTAATATTCCCTGTGGGAAGGTCACATTGTCACCTGATCCAAAGCTTTGAACAGTGGCAGAAGAGAACTCACCAGCCAGCGGGTGGGAGCAGCAGTAGACAGCTCAAGCTCTCTGGACCCCAAGTTTTGTTTTTGACAAAACTGTTCTCCCATGGGTCATGGCGTATACAGTGATTTGTCAAGAGATCTGCATAAATAATAGTTCCTTTTTCTCTTTACACCAATTTTGGATGATAAGAGGCACGGACATTATCATCTTTATTTCCAAATGATAAAACCCAATCACGTAAGTGTCAGGCGGTCTTCCCTCACAATTGCATAAGGGAGTAAAGACAAGGCTAGCGTCTCGGATTCTGTGTTTATTTGCTTTGCAAAACGAGCAACAGAAACACTTGTCAGAATGTTGAGTTATCTCAGTCCTGTCTACAGCATGTGTTGGAGTCAGTTTGTAATTCCTCTACATATTTTTGTGGACTTTTTTTAATAGACCCACAGGATTTTAGAAGCACAGCTGGAAAACACACTAAGGAGAGACCTAAAAACTAATGAAAATGTTACCTGTTCTGAGGTTACAAAAGAATCGTATTTAAAGAATTTGTTTGTTTTATTTTCTCATGATGTTCTCTAAAAGGAAATGTAAATTTGCTTGAATTTACAGACACCACACATCGCAGCATTTTTGTTGGTATAAGTAGACTACTTACTCTAAGGAATACTTCCAGTGCTGTGGCCTACACATCTTAATCTTTATTCCAGGTTCTTACTGAAGCAGAGATAAGAATTCATATCAGGTCCATACTTACAGGGCACAGATGAGGCAGGAATAAGAGAGAATGAGTGGACACACGTTCAGTCTTGAGTGTCAGCTACTTCACTTGGTGAGAGCTGCTAGAGAGCTGCCTATGAAAAGAAGTGAGTGAGGGCTGGTCCAAAAAAAGACCCCCATGCATAGTCAAGAACAAAAGAAGACCCTTCACAACCCCTACAAGTTATCAGGCTGTTTTATAGATATGGGGTGGTGTCTGGGTGGAATTTCCGCTTGTGTAGTTTTCTCAGATTCGTTGTGCCACCATGTCGAGTTTTAGCTTCGTCTTGCCATCATAGCTCTCCCCTTCCTGGTGTTAGAAGAGACACAGTGCATTCTGGGAAGGTGAGCATACTAAATTGACAGGTAAAATGACAAAGTTGCACAGCAGGACTCGCAGAAATTTCAGCTCACTTATTCCTCCATAATCTCCCAGCCAACTTCCCACACATCACTAAAATATACATATATGTATTTATATATGTATACATATATATGTATTGGCTTGAACACTGAAGAAGATAATTTATCAGCTTTGTAAATAGTTCAAGGAGGAGCCAAGTGTGGGCTTAAGGGGTGGAGGAAGTGCCCGGTTTTAGCACAGTATTTCAGGTCTTCCCTCCATCAGAGAGATGGAGAAGATAAAAATGTGCAATAGCCAGTGGAAGGGGTAAGAAGTAAGAGAAAATTGTGTAGTGTGGAAAGGGTAGAGTGAGGCAAAGCTGACTTCCGCCAGCAAATTGTCGCTGCTTTTGGAGACAGAATTGAGCATCAGTTACCTACAAGGCAGCTATAGGTCAGGTACCAGAATCTGCAGGTTTCCAATGTGTTTTCAAATGTTCTCATTAGAGACTTTCCATTGAATTAGTTTCTTGATCACACACTGAATCCCTGAAAGAATCCTGCTCTTATGTGCAGCAACAAGAACCATGACCCAAGTGAGGTATTAAATGAGGAAAAAAAGGCCCAAGAAGTCTCTCTTTCTTCTGACCCCAGACTATATCAGTAAGAATATAAGAATTGCAACCCCAGGGCCCCAGAAGAGCAAATCCAGTGCTCTGCTCCCTGATGGTTCTCAATACACCTTGAGCTGTACTTCTGGGATACCATTGTTTGCATTTAACCTTTGCGGTCCTCTTGGGAAAGAGAAAGCATCGTGAAATCGTTAAGACTCTTGCTTAACTGGATAGCTCCAATTGCATTAATGCTACACTAGTGAGACTTGTGGAGTATTCATTGTTCCTCTAGCTGGATCTATTCTAAGTGTTTGTCTCAGCATAAGTTATAAGTGCAAGAATAGGAGCAGGACATACTTATCTAAAGAGATTAAACAGATGGTGCACATTCAGAGAAGAGAGTGTGAGAGAAATGCAACTCACCCGTTCCGTGGCTTTGTGTGTTGGGTAAGGGGTGGTTCTCTAGTTGAATATACAAACAAGGATGAGTTTCAGGATATGTATGTGTGAAACATGGAGGGGGAATAAGGGAGAGAGAAGAATAATGGAGGGAGAAATGAAGAGAGGGAGGAGAACTCTGCAAAGAACCTGGAGCATTTCTCTGCGAAGGTCAGTAAGCATGTGTTCATCATGGTATCCTACTTTGTGATGGAGGAAGCTCAAGTGCATCATGGGAAAGTGGGTGTACGGAATAGGCTTAGAATGATTTTGTCCTATTTTGTTCAGATAATGCAGAAGTAAGGTGCAGATACTACTAGAAACCTCTCAGCTTTTTGTTCACTGACTCCCTGCCCAGGTCGTATCAAAATGATGATCTTGTCTACCACACCTGATCCTATCTGTTAGTACTGTTGAGTTGTTCTCTTTCACCACCTCTTGCATTTTATAAATCATAGCAAGCACGGTGTTCCACTATTTGTTGATGAGATCATCATTAGTCACAAGCTTCAAAGGTCATCAAAGGATAATTTGTTATTTAATTAACGTGGATAAAAGGGTTTCAATTATAGTGTAAGCATTGTCTTACATTGTGATTTTCCTAGCAGTATTTTGTTATGCAAAGCTTCATTTTGTAATCACAAAAATCTTAACAACGAAGTAGGGTAGTCAAGCTATCCTGGCTTTATAGATGAGAAAACTAGACCTCGTGATTGTTAAAGGGTCGTTGACGAATTTACCTAGACAAACAATAAAAGGAAAAGGGGATAGGATCCTGAAATCCTGTCCCTGGGCCTCAAGTACAAGATTCCACACAAGTGTAGGTGGGTGTGAAGGTGCTTTAAGTCTTGGACAACAGATTTGATTAAACTCACAAAGGCAGTGAGTATAAATTTATCAAAGGAGGTTGGAAGCTGGCCTCTGGAAAGCACTCAGCTCAGAGATTCCCCGATGACTGGGCACTCCGACCATGGGGTGGCTGACACAAGGCACACATGTTTCTCAGGCTGCTGCCTTCTCCCTGCACTTGTCCTGGGTTGGTCTTTAATCTCATACAGGTAAGTAAGCTGTCTTTGGGCTAGCTGCTTCGAAGCTGGCATTTAAAGCAGATAAATAGGCAATTTTGCTTGAAAGAATAAAACAGTTTTAGCTTTTGTTTTTCGATTTTCCTGCATTGTCCTTTTTCTTGATATTTCCGTTGGAACCTGGTCATTTCCCTCCCTCAGTAGGAAGGGGAAAAAATTAATCAAGTTTTTATGATGATGACAATCTTGTCTGCATGTGAACTGTCATAGAATGCTAAGGTTTTTTGTGTCCAAATAATGATTCTCCTGCTTACAGAGCCCATGGATTTCAACAACTCATCTACATTTAAGAAGCAGCTTAGGAAAAGAGGTTGGAGAAAATAATAACTTCATAATTATCAACAAGCAGTATTTTCTAAAGGAGATTCATTCTATTCTTTGCTATTGCCTTCAAAGTAAAACACAAATTTGATTTCATAGTTTAGCCTTTGCATTTCGCTGGCAGGCTCATATAAACCCAGAGAAATCAATGACTCAAATACAATAGAAACTTAGCTTTTGTCTCAAGTAAGCAGTCTACAGGCTTTTTACACAAGGGGAAGATGGAGCCCTGTTTGTCAGGGACGTGACCAAGCTGAAGATCTGCCTTCTTCAGTGTCAGCCTTCTTGGTTTCCCCTAAGAGAAAAGCGAGGCTATAAGCCAGCAAAGATACATACTTAAAGGGACAGGTCAAAGAAGAAAGATGATGCAGTGTGAGAAGCCAGAGTCCGACACAGAGCAGGATGCCCACTGGGGGATGACATTTTCTCAGCTTACCCACACAGGTCGTCAGTTCCAGGCAGAACCCCTCTTGCTGTGTTATTTCAGCATTTCCCAGTTTCCCATTGCTATTAAACATTCCCAGAATGGTAGGGAGCAGCCACCATAGCATTCCCTAAACTGGATCCACCTGCCTGAGGCACTGCAAGCCAGTCATTGACACTGCAGTGCTGGAAAAAATCAGGTGTTTATTACAAGTGCAAAGGGAAGGAGCCAAGCGTCTGGGGCTTGATTCCCATGGTCCCTGAGTGTGTAGGGGGTAAAGGCTAAATTCTGTGAATCTGGATTAAAAGCTGGGGAAGACCACTGCATGATCAGCTCGTGTGTGGGTCCCCTATTGGTCTCCAGTTAGTTCCCAGCACTGGTGGATTGCTTTTGATGATTCAGTGACAGGCAAGCAACTTGTTCTGAAGATGCTGGATGGCAAAGTGGGCTCCAGCCACCGAGGGCCCATGGGCTAGTTGATTCTTACCTTGTTTCCAACAGAGTTGGAATCTTCTGCAAAACATCTCCCCTGAAGGCTAACACCAGGATGTTGGCCACGGGAACAATAAATGAGTTTGAAGGCCTCCCTGTAGGTTCTTGTGAAGCTCTCAAGGTGTTAACCATAAGGACAGGTGTGTCACTCTGTTGCCTTAGTGAGTTGGCTTTACAGAGGAGCCACAAGCTCAGGAAAAGGTAGTGGGACCCAGTTACACTTGGAGTAGAATATGCTCCCATCTTGGTTCTCTTGTTGCTGCTCACTGAGACACCCAGGAAACATTTGCTCCTTTTTGCATAGAGAATACGTGAACACAACTCTTCAGAATGCAGTGAGGATGAGGCAGCCCCAGTCTGTGAGAGCTGGGAGCTGAGGAGTGAGCTTGGTGAGAAGGGTAAGGACTGCCCAGCTACAGAACCTCAGGAACCAAGATGAGAGGTTTTCTTTCCTCCTGCATTGAACTCTGAGCACAGCCATGGTCGCCTTCATCATGGGAGCTCATTCTCTGTATTTACCTCTTCTGGGCATTTTGGAAATTGCAAGAAAGGACACGCATCACTATAAATTTGATTTGGCAAGAACGAAGGCTGTAGGTGAATAACGGTGCCCTTTTTGCTATATATACACCAGTTTTATAAACCCCAAAGAATCGGCTCTCCAATGTGATTTCCACTTCTATCCATTCTCCATTTTACAGAAAAGAAGGTGCAGTGTAATATATTGCCCAATCTTGTTGAAGATTGATGCAAAACTCGAAAGGCACTGATCATCCTGTCTGATTCTCAGCAGAAAGACAGTCTTCCTTGTTCCTATCAAATCCAGTGCCTACGTTTTGACAGATCCTCCCAACATGACATTGGCCTTGCAGCAATGCTCAAGATAGCTTAGCAATTCTGATTTAGCTTCACAACAGCTTCAAAGGAGAGACAAGATAACTGTCATTCCTCCCACTTCACAGGTGGGAGACCCCAGTACCTCAACATTTAAGGATCTTTTTACACATGACATACAGTAGGTCAGGAGAAGAGACAAGACTGACATCCCAGATTCCTCCTCAGAAACCTGTAACCCTCTGTACAGATTCTCCGAGGCCAGGTACATTTTGGAATTTTGAAGTGTTGATGATTTAGACAGTGTGGTTGTGTTCTCCATGGGCGGAATCCCGTTCTCAGGCATTCTGCATTCAGGTTTCTGCAGCAGTACGCACGTGGTCATCATGGTGTCCTCTTGTGATGGAGGAAACTCAGGTGCGTAGAGCTGTCTGAATCGTCACACCAAGACTGGCTTCACCTAGACTCCTGGCAGCTCACATCCTGATTCACTGCTTAACTGATTCACTAGTTAACTGCCGAACTTGGACAAAAGCTTGTTTTCAACTGCCTTTGATTTTGGAGTTCAAGTAGAGGATTGAGACTCTGCTCCACTGGTAGTGATCTGGTTCCTTAGATGGGAAGAGGCAGATGACCACCACAGAGCCTTTGCAGTCTACATCCTACCTACAACCTAAGTGGTAATCAGATTCATAAACTTTCCCTTCTAGATCCTGCGACTGCTGGGAACACGTCTGTAGGCGGGACACCAAAAGGAAAAGGCACAGAGCAGTTAAAACTCTTGACATAACAACTCGTTACTTCCCGATTCAAATTCCATTCCATCTTGTGCTATATTCTGTAAAATCAATGAATGTGCTGGCATTTCAGATGATTGTACATTGTGTATTTTGAATTAGATGAGCTGGGCTAATTGATGTCACAGACAGACCTCAAGACATCCCATGGCATGAGTGCAGTGCAAGCTTGTTCTTGGCTCACATGAGCAGGACGCAGTAGTTCTGGGGTAGCAGGTACTACAGTCCGCACTGTTGGACAGGGTTCAGCCGGTAGAGGTTCTGACATTTCTAAATGTTTCTTTTGTGATCCCTGGCTTAAGAAACAGGTGGGAGCAGCAGAGAAATACTCCAGGAGGCAGGAAGGGTCAGAAGAGTAAGAAATAATGTCTGAAGGGAGTGCCTGTGGTGGCCAGGTTGCCTCAGTCCTGGCCTTGGGGCAGAACCTGGAACAACCTGAGGCATGGGCCAAGTGAAGCCACAGGGTGGCCTGTGGGTGGCATATCCCTGTACCTCCTGCAGTCCCTCACGAGTGACTCAGGTAAAGAACAGTGAGCTGTGGAACCCTGGCCTGCAGGGTGTTGGGAATCTGCATTCAAAGCCACTGTTTTCCAGAGGTGTTTATTCCAAGCACTTTGACCGTCTGGTATTCTGTTACTCCCAGAAAAATGAAAGGAGGTGGGAAATTATTATGAATTCAGCAGATGAGTTCTGTCGACTAAATGTATATGATGATATTGCTGTCATAGACAAAATAAATAGTAAAACGATGATATCCACTTTCACACCCACTGTTGATAATTAGATTTCTCTCATGACATATTGATTGCCAACCATTTCAGTTAGTATCATGAAATGATATATATCATGAAATCATGAGATGACTGGCTTGGCTGTGCAATCATAGAAAGAAAAGCTTCAGATAATTACTCTCAAATCTTAGTGTGGCTTTCGACAGGTGCCCACCACTGCATAATCCAGTCATGCTGTGTTATTTTAGACCTTCTTTTGTCACCCCAAATGCTTAAGATTCAAGCTAAGTCTTTCTGTTCTCACTTTGGGATGAGGAAATAGAGGCACAAAAATACGGTGGTCAAAAAACTAAAGGAACAGCAGGTACCCACAGCCCACAATGTCACTGTGAGTTGACATGTAACAGGCAAGAGGAGAAAGCTGTGTGAGGTGATCGCAGTCCAGAGAGGACCCCAGGGTTTCCCTGGGAAGTGTGCTTGTGCCTGATGTAAGACAGAAAGCTTACTTAACAAGAACAACATACACATACGTTTAGACACACATGCACACATGTATGTATACAATCCCAAGTAAGGGGGGGGAATTATGAATGGAACCAGCCAGTTGTTATTGCAAAGCATTTGGAAGGACAGATTCAGAAAGGATAAACAGAGAAATATGGGGCAACAGATAAAATCATTGTTGACGAAAAGGAGGTAAAGTAGCATGGGCAACCAAAAAACCAGGGAGATCAGAGGCTCCCCAAATCAAAGAGCTAGAAATGTACAGAGGCAGCCAGGCAGGAGGAGAAGACCTGCTATCTTGGAGGCCATACTAGGTATGGGGTCAGGTGCATTTTTTTTCACAGTTCATTTTGGCTCTGGACATAGCTCAGTCTGGCCACAATCAACAGTGTCCTGGCTAGTCATATGGGAGACCCAGATGGAGTTAAGGCCCCTGACCTCAGCCTAGCTTGGCTCCTGCTGTTTGGGGTCTTTGGAAGGTGCGCCTGCAAATGAAAGATCTCTGTCTAGATCTCTTTGACTTTCAGATAAAAGTAAATAAATTTATCAATAAAGGTTAACATAAAGATGAGCTTGAGAGAGAGCTATCATTGAAGAGAGAAGAGAAAGGGAAACAGCGGTAGGAAGACAACCACTCCACTAATACAATGAGAACTAAGCAGAAACAAGACGTATGGGATGATGGATGGAGAGACGCAGAGATGAGATACATGATGAGAGCTATGGAGAGAGTTAAAGAACAGTGGTGACAGGGACGGGGCAGTAGTATGAAAGGGAGAGAACAGATGGAGAAACCACGGGATCTGGGATGAGCACGAGACCAAAGCACCTGGGAGTGATCACAACAGCCAGGAGTTGTCAGTCAGGTGTGTCTCGGTGTCACAGCTGCTCCTGCGACTCACCTGGATTACAAAGAACCTCACTCCAGTTCCAAACCCAACACACCCAAAGCCTCATCCTTTTTTTTTAAGATTTATTTATTTTTATTGGAAAGTCAGATATACAGAGAGGAGGACAAACAGAGAGGAAGATCTTCCGTCCGTTGATTCACTGCAGAAGTGGCCTCAACGGCTGGAGTTGCACTGCTCTGAAGCCAGGAACCTGGAGCTTTTTCTGGGTCTCCCACATGGGTGCAGCATCCCAAGGCATTGGATTGTCCTCGACTGCTTTCCCAGGCCACAGGCAGGGAGCTGGGAAGTGGAGCTGCCAGGATTAGAACTGGCATCCTTATGGGATCTTGACGCGTTCAAGGGAAGGACTTTAGCCACTAGGCTACTGCCCCAAAACCTCATCTTTCCCCTAAAGCCAGGCTGTGTTCCTCCAGGGCTCTTTCTTCAAAATGTGCACTATCCATTTCTTCAAGTTGAAATCCTCTAAATTATTCACAAAGCGGGGAGGGGGGTAGAAACAGTGGGGAACATAGAGAGGAAAGGGATTCCTTCTTGATGAGGAGTGGAGAGGAAGGGGCCCCTAATGTTGGGGGGTAGAAAGGATCTGTGGGGAGACGGGTCAAAAATGAAACTTCTTTACATGTCACAATTTAGGAGCAGAGCTGTATTTGCATCGACCTGAACATGGGAATTGCCACTGTGTCATGTGCTTCTCAAAGGGAGGCCAAGAAGCACAGACTGGGAGTAACCAAGCTTCTAACACGACAGGTAAGGGAAAGCTGCGTGAGGGTGCTGGGGTGACTGTGACTCAGCACGTACCACAGACCCTGCAGTGGCACGTGGCAGGAGGTGGGGTTCAAGGAGTACATCAGGCAGCCTTGGGCTCTCCATCAGGAATCTGCAAGTGAGGGTGTGGGGACTCTGACACCAGAGCTGCTGCTTCTCACTGTGCCTGCCTGTGAGCATCCTGTAATAAGGAGCCAGACTCTTTTCCCCTCTATCTGCATAACCTGACTCTTTGAGAACTGCGTGGAAGCAAGAGATTGTTGTGAAGTCGTGTTTAGTGGGACACAGCCTGTTGGTTAAGTATGGACAGTGTGGTAGAAATGTCCTGGTAAAACAGGCAGTATCTAATTTGCTGTATCAACCGCAATACTAAAGAATGGATTTCTGAGATGACCTCTGCCCTTGTCTGTGAATCAGTAAGCTGAATATTCTGTTGCTGCTAGATAACGGGTCACTTTGTCACAACCCTCACTGCCAGCAGATAAAAGCCTCTTAAACTCAATGTACCGTTTTGAAGAGGGCCCCCTTCTCCCATTAACAAGAAGCTGGATCGGAAGCAGAGTCGCTGATATGAAATGTGGGATGCCAAGCTGCAACGTAACCCTCTGCTCTGCATCACCTGCCCCTAATAACACTTAATCATTACATCTGTGACACACACTGAACAAGGCGGATGTCCTTGTGAAGAAAGAATTTTTAAAATAGCCCCGAATCTGCTGCATGCTGGCCCCTACCGTCACTGTGGTAATACAGGTCTAGTTTAAACTTGCTTGTCCATGTTTCATTGTTGGCTGTCAGGTTTTCTATTTTAGGGTAAAGACCTGTGCTGTTTAGATGCATGTTCCATTTTGCAGAGTGACTCCAGAAACTTGTTTCTTGAAGTACCTTTAAATATTTCTTCAATTATTTTTATTTTCTTCAGGAATTCCAATGACTGGTTCACTGCCTTCTCTTGACTATTTTCTTTGTCGTTTTTAATTATTCTTCTTCATTTCCTTTTTGCTTTTCCTTCTATAGTCTGTGTCCTGCACTTCAATTTCTCGAGTTTCTAATCTCTATTATCCCTATAAATTTGTCTTTATTTCTCTGATGATTTTTCTTCTACCTACATCTTAAGTTCTGACTGTTATAAAATTCTGTAGGTATTCAAGCCAGGCTGCTGAATTCCAGGAATCAAAATGCACCAGTGATTTCTGAGGGCTGCAGTGGCCTGACTGCCTTGACATGCCCCTGCTTCTAATGTTAGCTTTCACCTGACTTCAGCTGCTTTCCATATTTTCTCTATTGTAAATGGATAATAAAGCCCCATGTGGATATGTAAAAGCACAGTGTACGTTTTGGCTGTGTCTAAGTGTACAATGTTTTGTGGAAATTATTATTTCCCCATGATAATAACTGCCAACATGGTATGTTAATGACTGGGGAATGAAGATTTAAAAATAAAATACCTGAAGGCTACTGATGTAAAGAACTTGAAAATCTGCTTCTCTTACAATCTGAAAGATTATTATTTTTTCTGTTTGAAGGACAAAAGCAGAGATGCAACAATAAACAAAGAAACCTCCAAGGTGCTAAGAAAGGTACTGGGGCGGCAGGGCAGCAGGGATAGGCACAGCGGGGGCACTGGGTTGTGGAGGGTGGTCCTTGGCTTTCTCCATGGTGCTGATCTTTCTGCCAGATGCTGTTGTCTTTGCTGCAGCCCACAGATTTCCTGTGTGCCGTGATAGCTTCACAGCTGCTGGATTATTCAGAGTATAAGCTATGTCATTACAACAAATAGTATCCAAAACAAGCAGTTTCAACACAAATACATTAGTTGTCATCTAGAATTCCAGAAGTGGTAGGGAGAATCTGCCCTCCTTGATAGGTTTCAATCTCCAGGCCCACAAAGGCCACTCTGACTGTCATTGTCTCCCATCGAGTGGGAATGGAAAAAATGAAGAAGAGAGTAAGCCTTTCATTTCCTTGATGAAAATCTGATCACATCTTTTTGGCCAAAACTTAGTCAAAGCTAGCTTCAAGTAAGTAAGGCTAAGAAATATGATCTCTGGCCAGGCACTGAAGGATCAAGCTGTGATTCTGTGCCCATGAGAAGAAGTGATTGTGTGTGACCAACACCACTCTGTCCACCTGCCTTACGTATTTGCATTCAAATGGCTGATTCCCTGAACTAACAAGGAAAACTGAATTGGCTCAAACCCAACCATCTTTGATAAGAACAGGATTTGGAACTGAGGGTGCAGACCAGAGCTGTGGTAAAGGACATGCCAACACTGATTTAGAAACGAAGAAATAGAATAAAACATTGGAGAGACTGTGTGTTGTAACAATGAATGCAGAAAAGAGGAGACAGAACAAACACAGACAGACAAAATCTGAACAACTAAATACAAGCCAAAGCATTAGTACAAGATCAGTTCCAATCCTGGGAAACTCATGACTCCTTAAACCCAGTTAAGTCAGAGCATACCCAAAACTGGATTTACACATTGAGGCATGGGTGTGTGAATGATGTAGGATGTTCCATTCTGTGCACCACAAAGGGAAGTTGGACATTTCTATTGCATTTCTATTTTCAGAATTACTCTGTCAAGTGAACCAATTTCATGTATTCCACAGCACAGATTTAGTAGCATAGTGACTGCCCACCCAACGCTCCCTCCTGGCCACATTCCCCACACACCCTCCTCCTTCCTCATTTCTTCTATAGAAATGTTTACAATGACAGGATTTCAGTTCATTTCACAATCACAGGCTGATCACGGCATTGGATGAAGCATTCAACAAAAGCAAGTAGAAAAAGAAAGCAATGTACAGGGCATAGACCAGGACTGTAAACAATAATCAAACCTCAACATGTCAGTTTTGCTCCTATAGATTACATTTGTTTGTATTTTGTGCATTAGTTACCATAGATGAGGAACGCGCACAATATTTGTGTTTCAGGGAACTGGCTTATTTCATTAAGCATAGTGGTTTCCAGTTGCATCCATTTTGTTGCAAAAGACAGGATTTCATCATTTTTTATGGCTGACTAGTGCTTCATACTATATGATTACCACATTTTCTTTATCTATCAATTGGTAGACATCCAGGTTGTTTCATATCTCAGGGCCACAATAAGCATGGAAGTACAAATAACTTTCATATGCTGATAAACTCCCAGGAGTAGAATGGCTCGATTGGATGGTAGATCTGTTTTCAGAATCTCCATGCTGTCTTCCATAATGGCTGTACTAGTTTACATTCTGCCAACATGCTACCCAGCATTTATTCTTCTTAAATTGTTGAATGTGAGGTGAAACCTCATTGTAGTTTTTATTTGCATTTCCCTGATGGCTAGTGTTCCTTAGATTTTTTTCATTTGTTTACTTACCATTTTTATTTTAACTATTGAGAACCATCTTTTCTTCTCATATTCTTTGTCCATTTATTAACTGGATTGATTTGTTATTATACAGTCTGATGCTATTAGGTCATAGGCTTAGATTTTTGATCCATTTTGAGTTGTTTTTTGCATGAAGGGTAAGGTACGTGTCTTCTATCATACTTCCGCACGCATAGATCCAGTTGTCACAGCAGCATTCATCGACTAGACTGTCTGTTCTGCAGAGATTAACTTTAGCTTATTTGCCAAAGATTTGTTGGCTGGGGATGCGTGGGTCAATTTCTGGGGTTTATATTCTGTTCTCTTGGTGCCAGTACCAGGCTGTTTTGATTTCTAAGCTTCAGTTTATTAACTGTCCCATACTATGCCTTGAATTCTGGTATTGCTATCCCTCTGGCTTTTTTGTTTGTTTGTTTAAGAATGCAAAAGTTACTTGGGGTTTATTTTGTTTTGACATAAATTTTGGCATAATTTTTCTAAATATGAGAACAATGTCCTCAATATTTTGATTGAGATCACATTAAATCTAAAAATTGCTTTGATAGTATGGACATTTTGATGATATTAAGTCTTCAAATCCATGAATATGGAAGATTTTTTCCATTTTTATGTGTCGTCTTCCACTTTTTCTTTAATGTTTTGTAGTTTTCATTCTAGAGTTCTTTCAAATCCTTGTTTGAATTTATTCTAAGATTTTTAAATTTTGTAGCTATTGTGAGTGGGACTGGTCTTACAAGTTCTTTCTCAGCCATTGCATTGTGTATACGAAGGTTATTGATTTTTGTGTGTTGGCTTTACACCCTATCATTTCGCCCAGTTCCCTCATGAGCTCCAGCAGCCTCTTAGTAGAGTCATTTGGTTCTTCTACATACAGAATCATGCCATCCGTGAACAGGGATAGCTTGAGCTTTTCTTTTCCAATTTGTGTTCCTTTGGCTTCCTTTTCTTGCTTTATGACTCTAACTAAAATTTCTGGGACTCTAATGAAAGCAACAGTGGAAATGGGCATTCTTGTCAGGTTCCAGATCTTAGTAGAAATGCTTACAGTTTTTCCCCATGAATGTGGTGCTCACTGTGGATTTGTCACATGTTGTCTTGTGTTGAGGCATGTTCTTCTGTATCCAAATTGCTTATGATTTTTTTATCATGAAAAGATGTCATATTTTATCAAATATGTTATTTGATAATTAAACATAATTTATTCATGCTATGTGTCACATTTCTGGATGTGCATTTGTTAAACAGCCCTTATTACCAAGGATAAATCTCACTTGGCATGAATGAATCACTTCTCTAATACGCAGTGGAGTTGGATTAGCCAGTAATTTTGTTGAGGATTTCTCCATCTTTGTTTATTAGGAATATTGATATGTCGTGTTGTCATTTACATTTGTTTCCAGGAATTTTTAAAAAGAATATTTTTTCTTTTGATTTCTTCTATGATCGACTGTTCATTCAGTGGATTCCTGTGCAAACATATCAGTTTCTGTGTGTTTGCATATTTCCTAGAGTTTGCTAAGTTGTTGCTTTTCACCTTCATTCTATTGTGGTCAGAAAAGTTGCATGGTATGATTTCAATGTTTTGAATTTGCTGAGGATGATTTATGGCCTCAAATACAGTCTTTCCTTAAAAAAAAAATCTCACAGAGTGATGAAAGAATGTGTTCTGCAATGGTGGGGTGAGATGTTCTGTAGACAACGACCAGGTTCATTTAGTCCACAGTGTAGATGAACTCTGTGTGTTTTGTTTGCTTGTTGCTTGCTGATTTTCTGTCTAGTTGATCTGTCCATTGATGAAAGTGGGGTGATGAAGTTCCAATTATTATTATGTAATGATGTCTCCCTTTAGATACACTAACATTTGTTTTAAATAGCCAGCTTTTCACTAACTTTTTCTCCTTCACATTCTGTAATGATGACTATTTTTCCTGGTTTCTATGTGCAACAGGTTCTTAAGAACCATTTGTAAGGCTAGACAAGTGGTAACAAATTCTCTCCATTTTCTGTTCTTGAAACTCCTTATTTCACCTTGCTTTGCTGGGCACAGTATTCCGGATTGAATCTTTCTTTTAGGACCTGGCCGGTGTGTCTCCATTCTCTCCTAAACTGAAGGGTTTCTTAGAGAAACCAGCTGTTAGTCTGACTGAGAAGCCCCTGAAGGTGATCTGGCATTTCTCTCATGAACATTTTAGAATCTTTTCTTCATGTTTTACTGTTGCGTGTTTGACTATAATGTGTCATGGTGAAGATCTTTTCTGATCATATCTAATACAGAGAGTTCTGTGTGCGTCTTGAACTTTATTATCATTTTTCTCCTCCAAATTAGGGAAGTTTTCTGTCATGATCTCACTTAATAAACATTCTGTTCATTTCACTCTTTCCACACTTTCAGGAACTCCTAAGATACATAAGTTTGGTCATTTGTTAATATCCCACAGAGCTCAAAGACTATCTTTAGTGTTTCTCTTTTTTTGTTGTTGTTTTTGTTGTTGTTGTTGTTGGTTTTTTGTCTGACTGAGATATTTCCAAGGATTTGTCTTCTTGCTAGGATATTCTTCCTCCTGACCCACCAAGTCTGTTGTTAAGATTTTTTTCTGTGTTTCCCATTTGACAGATTGAATTATTCATTTCAAACAGCTAAGTTTAATTTCTTCTCAATATTTATCTCAGAAAAAATAACCATATCATACATTAATTCCTCTGTGTTCGTTTCCCTGTGTTTCTGTGTAATCTTATGATCATTCTTTTTCAGACATTTCATCTATCTCTTCATCATCGTATTTTAATATTGAAGTGCTATGTTTCTTTTGGGGAATCATTATCTTTTCCTTGTGCATGTTGTTTGCATTTCTGCTTTTATTTTTAGGCATGAAACACTTGTTGGTTTCTCCCCTCTGGTGACTTGTATCTTGGCACTGTGCCTCTCTGGCTGGAGTTTCTACTCCTGCAGTAAATATCCAGAGGTGTGTGCTAGGTAGGACCAAGGAGCTCTGAAGCACAAGGGTGGGACAGGAGTCCACAATGACACCTAAGTTGGGCATGATAGATCTTTATGAACAGCAGGGGGAGATATGACCACATTGGCTGGAGTAAGCCCACTGTGACCACAGCATGACCACTGTGAGCCCCCCATGACCATGGTGTGACCACTGTGAGCCCCCCATGACCATGGTGTGACCAGTGTGAGCCCACCATGACCATGGTGTGACGACTGTGAGCCCAACATGGTCACAGTATTACCACTGTGAGCCCACCATGAGCGTGGTGTGACCAGTGTGAGTCCACTCACTTTCTCACTTCCACGATGATCAATGCCTAGAATTAGTCCACAGTAATGAGTCCATCCACAGAAGCACATAAATTACACAGTATCTGTATGGTCCTCAGGGTGAGCCCGGAACCCTCTGCACTCATGAAACTGTGAGCCTTGAAGTAGCACCTGTGACATCCCTGAGATCCAGCCACTCTCCATGCCCTATCATGCAGTCACAGAGTCCCCACCTTGCTTTGCTGGGCAAGGTACAGTAAGGGGGAAGCCACTCTCAGTCCCATGAACCTGCTAAGCCATGGAGAGAAGCAAGGCATTCCCTGAGCCTCTGCTTAGCCCCCACAATTCCTCTAAGCCAAACTCTGTCAGTGGGGAACAGAAATGTATCCTTCTCATAAAATCCCCTAATCATATATATGCAAGCCACCACAGCTTGGAATTGAAGACTCTGGAACGTCCTGGAAATTATGACAGCGGAGGTTCTTTCTAATAGATTCCCTGGGCAAAATGTGTCTCAAAAATACCCTGTCCAGCTCCCATCTTGACGATACCAGGTCAAGGTAATCCCATTTGTTTATTGACGCTGTTATTGGCCCCAAGTCCTGCCTTCATCTCTGCTCATGACCTTGCAGCTCTACACGTTTCCAGAGTGAGTCTGAGATCTCCAGTGCAGGGTAGGGTGAGTGTATTTAGACTTTACTGTTTGGCTGAGTCCTGGAGATGGGGATGGCTGGTGCTGGCAGAGGGAGAGCCCCTCCATTTCTGGCAACAGGACTAGACCAGCACCTTGCCTTAGGATGCAGAGCATCTGTTGCACCTTCCTTGGATGTTGAGGCATCTGTTGATGTTCTGAATAAATCAGTCAGCTGAACATCACCCACACTCTTTATCTCCAAATACTGGTCCCAACTAGAGGCAAAAGTAGTTTTGTGTGACTTAATTTTTCTAATTTACTACTGCATTAATGAGCTGATGCTGGTTTTAGTATTGTGCAGTGGCTGACTCAAGAAGAGCCATATCCTAATTTCTCCAAGTATTCTACTTCCTAGATATAAGACAGTAGCAAGGGACCAGAGCTCACTGACACACAAGGAACCACTATACAACAGGACTGAGCACTTTGTTTCATATAATGTGACTGGCAACCTGAATTTCTTCATGCTGAGAACCAAGAGAGACTGCCTACGTGCTGTTTCTTTGCTCTGAAGTTGTTTGCTATCAGTACGTTTTAATTAAAAGGGAAACCCAGCTAAGACACAGAGCAAAACCATGTATGTTGCTCAGTAATAGCTATTGCTGCAGATCCAGGTTACATACAACCAGGGCCAGGGCGTCATCTTGGCTACCTTATAGGGAAGGGAAAAGCAGACATAGTCCAGACATAGCACAGGTGTCTTCTCATGGGACCCCAGGGACAAGGGATGGAGGGAAGAGGCAGGGGAAGGAGACAGAGAGACACAGAGAGAACGAATCAGAAAAGGGGCAGAAGAAGAGAACAAGTAGGTTCTCTTTTTCCAAGATATGCCTTCAGCACTGTTAGTGACAGGAGGAGAATCCCACACAGAACAACTTCATGGGTGACTTTGACCCTTGGCAGCCACAGCATTACCCTACTCAGCCCAGTACCACTCTTTGATCAATGCAGAGCAATTTCTGATTCTGAAGATCAAGCAAGAAGTACTCTACCTGCTAGAGTTCTTCATTTCCCCTGCTTGTTCCTCTCAGGCCTTTAGGACCCACTGCCAAGCTCTTACTCCTGAATGCAGGCTTCGTCACCTCTTCCGACAGGTGCCTCCCTGGCATCTTCACTTCCCTCCCGAGGGCAGCGTTTGTGAAGCAGAGCATGTCTTGATCTCGGGTTGTGAGTCCTCTCGGCATGGCAGTCATCCCTTAGTGTCTTAGGAAACCCGTTTTATCCTGGTGAGGTGTATAGTGTATGTAAAACAGAGCCTTGCAACGTGAAGCAATGTGATCAGCACCAAGAAGTCCCGTCTTGGATGGAGGGAAGTACTCTGAGCGGCATTCCGTGGGGGCAGGACTTTAGAAACAATACCTGTTCTGTCCCTTGACTTTAACGCTCAGACACTTTTGAATGCTGCAGCCCTAAGTGCATGTATGGAGAGTGACTCATGTTGAGGGACAACACATCCAATCAGTGCATGAATCAGGCACCTTGCTCCTCTGAAATGCATTTGAATTCAGGTGCTTGTGCTTTTAATTAGACCTTGGCCCTTCATTTCTACAGATTCCTCTCAGTGGCCTGGCTTTTAAGTTCTTGATCACTTCCCTTCTTCCTCAGTACAAAGATTTTATTTAAAGTTTATATTTGTAGCATCAGTCTCTTCAGTTAAAGTCACCATAATGTTGGTTTTAAGGCCTTGTATTGTTGCTTTCATATTTTATCTCTGTCTCTTTCCCAAAGGAAACCTGTTCAAAACTTATATTTACTTTCCCTTTTTATCTATGAGCATCACTTTGTCTTTTGTAAAATAATGGTATTACTCTCTGTTTGATAGATTTTTTCTAAGGATGAAATAAGTTAGTGGAACCAAAAGTCTAAAATCAAGTTAACATATTGTCATTATTTTACTCACCCTGAATTACAGCAAATGCTGTTTGCAGTTTCTTTGAAATGACTTGGGAGCTGATTTTTAAAATACAGTATATCCAGTTTCAAGCATCTTGCTTGTTAGTAAGACTAGGTAGGGCCCGGCACAATAGCCTAGCAGCTCAAGTCCTCGCTTTGCATGTGCCGGGGTCCCATATGGGCGCTGGTTCTGGTCCCGGCACGCTCCACTTCCCATCCAGCTCCTTGCTTGTGGCCTGGGAAAGCAGTCGAGGATGGCCCAAGGCCTTGGGACCCTGCACCCATGTCGGAGACCTGGAGGAAGTTTCTGGCTCCTGGCTCCAATCAGCACAGCACCAGCCATTGTGCGCACTTGGGGAGTGAATCATCGGACGGAAGATCTTCCTCTCTGTCTCTCTTCCTCTCTGCATATCTGACTTTGTAATAATTATAAATAAATCTTTTGAAAAGACTAGGCAGAAGGTTGGCAAACTACATTCTACAGGTTACATCTAGCCTCCCAACTGCTAATAAAGCTTTATTAGCACACAGTCACAGGCGTTTCCTGTACGTATGGGCATGAATGTTTCCTGGTTTGCCTGCAGAGCTGAGTAGTTGCAGCTGCTAAATATCAGCGGGCCCTCTAAGAAAAGCTCTTGACCTCCAATCAATTAATTTGTTTCACATGTATGTGAAAAGTGTTAGACCCCAAAGGGATGTGGGGAGAACCAGAAGGAACTATGCCTGTGGTCCCTGATTCTCACGGTGCGAGCCCCAGGACCTGCAGTTGTAGCTGATCCTGGAAGCTGGTTACCAGCACAGGCAGAGGCAGAGGCCTTGGGTTGGGGCCCGGCCCCCTGTGCTGCAACGCAACCTCAGGTGACCCCGGTGCCTGCCCCGGGGAGAAGCACCATGTAGGAATGTGGTTGAATAGAATGAAGTAGAATTCCTTAAAAAGTATAGAAAGAACAATCATTAGTATATATCATTACTATGCATCTACTAATGATTATACAGTAATAATAATGAAATGTCGCAGCATATAAAACAAATTTCATGTATATTTTAAGTACTAGAAAGGGTCCTGAAATTTTACCTTTGTGTGGTGTTTTGTAATGAACTGCTGTTTGCAATGCAGTGCTGTAAGTAACAGGCACATTGCTGTTCCTTCTTTCTCAGGGACAAGAAGAGTCAACAGTGATCCTTTGAAAAGAGGCAGGAAGAGAGGTAAAAACAAATGATTGCCACATCTTAAATAGTTAGTAGGAATTAACTAACAACTTATTAATAATGACGATTCTTCCTGATTTCTGCCTTGGGCGTGACCCAGTCCCACTGTTTTCCGCGTTTGGAAAGTAAGAACAAGTGGGAAGTTTTTCTGCATTTCTCTCTTTTAAACACAGTTGATCTATATTATACATCTGTAAAACCACAGTTAAGTTATTTTTCTTCCATTTTTTTTTCTTTTTTTAATGTAAAATTTTATTTTTACATAGTTAATTAGGGTAAGAACATTCAAGGGCTACAGGAAAGTGGATAATACTAATGTTTTCCATATTGTCACCTTCATGTTTAAAGGGGGGTATTAAGGGAGAAAGGCCACCCAAATTCCCACCCTCCCCAGGTCCTGGATGTAGGGCATGCTCTGAGGTTCTTGCTCAAGTGGTTTTGATATTGCAACAGTTATGAATCGCTGTCAGTCTTGCCACTCCAAGCACTATGAGGTCTTTGAAAAATCCACTGATTGACATAGTCCATCCTAGCTGAGATGGTTGGCTGACCTGTTCTATATTCTCTCTTTTTTTGGTTAGGGTTCTGAGTCCAGCATGTAGATTAGGAAGATCTCCAAAGAAACTTCTTGGATGTGCTAGCAAGTACAGGGCCTGGCACAGTCCATCGCCCCAATCAGCTGGTGGTTGCAATTCCTGGGTTGGTTGTTTTGACTCCCAACTTCCACTGGAACCAATTGGTGTTGCAGTCCAGCCTGGTTCTGCCCAGCACATACTTGGTCCTCACATAAACCAGTGGGAGCTGCAGCCTAGTTGGAGCGACCCACAATAACCCCCACCAGGCCCGCCCCCTACCCTGGTTTGCCAGTATGTGTAGCAGTAATCCAGTCTGTCCCACACCCCATTCCACCCTAGCCACTATCTTAGTTTTATGTCCTCCCATGGAAGTGGTAATCCAAGAGGGATGAGCCCACTATTTCCCTCCCAGGCCTCTCCCACTCCCAGATTCCAGCTGATGCTGCAGCTAAGCCCAAACAACCCTCGCCCACTTTAATTTTGTTTGCACCAGTAGGAATAATCAGCCCAGCCCGGCTTTTCCCTGATCTAGTCCACATGAGGCGCACAGGTGTAGTACCTCTGCCTAGTCTGGTCTGCCCCCATCCCAGCCCATGCTCTCCAGTGGGAGTAGCTGTCCAGCAGGGGAACACCCCCTTATTCCCCTTGCCAGCTCTGCCCCCTCCCTTCCTGTTTCTTACACTTTCTGGTTGGACGCTGAGGTCCCTTCTGGTACAGGCAACCTCACCTTGGCATTCCATATTGTGCACTAGTCTTTGTTGCGACCGAACCTGGCTCAACACACACTGGGTCTCAGGACGGGGCGTCTTATGCCTGGATCCCAGACAGCCGCCATGTGCACATGGTGAGCAGTTCCCGGGCCTCCTGGGCTCCGGGGGCCGCTTCCTTCGGGGTGAGTATACTGAGGGGGGAGGTCTCCGGGACTGGGCAGGTCCGGGACCTACCCACCGCCTTCATTGCAGACAATGAAGCCTGGGAGCTCTGGGGATTTGATTCTTTGAGTCCCTGCTTAATTAACTCCATGTTGAACCCATTGTGCTTCTTGGACCTGAAACAGGCAGTAACTCTTCCTTTGTAAAACTTGTAATCACTATTAATGCTGACCACCAAATACTAGTCCATGCAGAAGCTATGGCTTGGGACTTGTCCTGCAAAAGTAGCTCCAACAGCTGGCTAATGTGTCAACTGGTAATGGAACAGAGTAGATCAGGCACAACTGAGCAAACCTTAGCCCAGAAGTGAAACTAGAAACCAGGAGGGAGCACAGGTCATGCTGAGCTAGGCTCTTGTACCTACTGGTCTGTGGGAGCCAGGGACGCTAAGCCACAGTGTCTAAGGCAGAGTTTGGGATGGGGGAGGGGTTGTGCCAAGCTGAGTCAGAGCATCCACTGGCATGTGTGTGATCTATGGCTGGGAACAGGCCCAGTTGGGGAGCAAAGGGGACAACCCTAGCTGAGCTGAGGTTCCCACCAAGAGACGCGTGGCCTGGAAGGGGGGCTGCGTTCTGATCTGGAAACAGTTGTAGTCTCCCTTGGCACAAGTGTGGACTGGGATTGGATGCACCGAACCGGGCCGGACCCCAACACCACCTGGTGTCCTGGAGGACCAGGGCAGATGTGCGATGGACTAGGCAAGGTCTCAACCCACTACTGAGCCATGTGTGAGCCATATGTGGGTATGGACAAACCATGGCTGGGCTGGAAATCCAACAGCAAGAACCAGATTGGGTTGAAGGCCAGTCAGGAAAAGCCACAGTTCCTGCTAGGACAGGAGGTAGACTGAGTAGGGTTGGCTCATGGACCCACTGGTAAGCGTGAAACCTGGCATTGGGAGAGGTTCTGATGGAGGAGCCTGGGCAACTCCTCTGGCAGGACACAGACCCAGCAGGTAAGTGCAAGAAACATGATACGAAACAGCCCAGAACAGGCCATGGAAAGCTACACACTGGCATACAATTGGCAGACGTGGGGGCAAGACCAGGCTGAATCTGTCCCCACGTCATCCACTCGCAAATCTAGGCACCAGTGTGGGTCGACCCAGGTGCGGTCGCAACAAAGACTAGTGCACAATAAGGAATGCCAAGGTGAGGTTGCCTGTACTGGAAGGGACCGTAGCACCCAACCAGCCTCAGAACAAGAAAGTAAGTGGGCAGAGTCGGCAGGGGAATAAGGGAGGGTTCCTTTGCTGGACAGTTAAGTTTTTAAAGATGTATAATACATATCTAGTCACAGGTATGTATAATGCATAACTATACTAAGTCAATATATTCTTATATGTCATGTATTTATAATTTTATGATACAATTTTTGTAAGTATGTCCCAGATAGGCTTCTGAAAAGTTACCTCTGTATGGTGTTTTGTAATGCACTACTGTTTGCAATGCAGAGCTGTATCAGGCACATTGCTGTTTCTCATCTTTTTCAGAGACAAAAACTGTCAACAATGGTCCTTTGAAAAGACACAGGAGAACAGGTAACAAGAGCAGAATGCTAAAAAGTACTGTTAACAATTCAAGGTCCGAGCTTTTATTCAGCGCTGCACGTCCTGAGCAGTGAGTGGGTCTCCTGAGCTGGCTTCTGCAGCTGCCCTAGTGCATGGGGACTGTGGCAGCATGACGGGTTGGTGCTAACACCCACCTGCTGGATTAGCCAGCCGATCCAGGAGGCACCCTAGGTCTGGCAGCACCTCCTTAACTGCAGATGCCATTTGAGGAGGGAAAGAAGAGAAGGATGGAAAGGGCACACCCATGTAATGCTTAGCCGACCCTTTCCTTGCACACGTGGAGAGCCATTGGTGGCTCCACCCAGATCCATGTCCTGACTCCCACTCCACCTCTGACTGACATCTGTCCTGTTTTGGCGTGGGAGGTGGTGGTAGATGAACTCCATCAAGTGCCCCAGCTCTGGGCCTGCCCCAGCTCTGGTGGCCTGTGTATCTCCAAGTGGTTCTTGGAGGACTGAGGGCAGCCCATCCTCCTACTTACCAGTCTGCAGCCACTCTGCCACAGAGGTTCTCTCTAAGACTATGCTGCAGTGGAATCAGATCCCTGCAGGCCTCTAGTGCAGGGTGCAGGCTTCCCTGAGTTCCTGCAGCTTCCTCTGCAACACATCCACCCGGCCCCCCATCACACCAAGAGCTGAGTCCAGGAAGTGAAGCAATACACAGGGAGGGGGAGACAGACACCTCCCACTGGGAGCCCACAAGCCGCCCCTGCATGTTCCTGCTCCCCCTGCTGATGCCTCAAGTTGGAGAGGGACAAGACTAAAAGCTACTGGTTTTGCCTCCCATCTACACAATTCCGAATCCATAGCACCAGGAAGCTGTGGGTTGGCCAGCAGCTTGGTGTTCAGATTGTGCCACACAAGACAGGATTTTGGAGGATGGCAGTGGAGGTGACATCATGTTTAGGTGTCCAGACTGCCATGAAAGAACTCAAAATGTAACTCATGGGGAATCCTTGCTGTGTATTCTAAGCTATGAAGGGGGAATCTTGAACTGTTGCTGTCAGGGTGCCAGGTGGAGTCCCAGCTGACTGCCTTCTGCCTGGGAAAACAGCAGAAGATGGCCCAAGTACTTGGGCACCTGCCACTCACCCTAAGGACCTGGATGGAGTTCCTGGTTTACCCAGACCTGGCCACTGCAGCCATGAGGGGACTGAAACAGTGGAGAGAATCTCTGATTATCCCTTCCTCTGTTGTTCAGTCTTTCAAATAAGTAAATAACAAGAACAGCCCATGCATAATAGTAGAGGATGACGAAATGAAAAAATGTATGCTTTCTGTAGGTCGAAGAATTCCCAGAAACACAACTGAAAAATTTAAGGGTCCTGAGCTTCCTGTCGAATGTGGACTCATGAATGGGATTCTATACAAGAATCTGCTGCAACAAGGTGAGCTTCGTGGGCTTCTGTGAGTTACCGCTGAAATGCCCCTGCAAAGAGCGTGCAGTTCAGGAGGCAGACCACCACGCTGAGCCTCCAAGCCCCGCTGTGGCCTGTTACATCGCCAGGAGAACCCCTAGGACTCAGTCTGCAGCTGTGCCCCCAGCCAGTGGTTCTCTAAGTGAAGGACAGCACAGCAGAGTCAGCAAAGGAAAAAGACACTTAGCTCTGGTCCAGAGGAGACCGAGAACAAGCCCCTTGGGAGCCCTATCTGCTGCAGGCGCATAGGGCACAATCCTGCATGTGTCACATGGTGACTGCCAGGGAAAGCCAGGATTTCCATCAAAAGGTAATCAGTCATGGAGACGGCCTCTCCATGGCGCATTCCCAATCCCAAACTCACAGAAGGAAAGCAGGTGTTCTGCATAAGCTGCGTGGCTTGCACACACACTTGCAGGCACAGCTGACCACTCTTCTCAGTTCTGAGGATGGCAGAACCCCTCCTGAACTCCATCCCATAAGGCCAGCTCAGGACCGACCATTCCCCATTGGCTCTTCTAAGGATAGTCCCAGGCTCATGGTGCTAGCTTTCTTATACACACACGCCAGATGTCCTGTAGTAACAGTGGCTTTTCCAACCTCTGAAATGCATAAGACATTAGCGTACCGGGCCATATCTCCTCTCATCATGAGAAAGGTCCACAGGATGCCATTTAGCACTTGACACCAGCTCAAGCAGCTCAAAACCTGGATTAAAAATGCACACATCTGAGAAATCCCACAGGCCCTTCATGGGCCCTCTCCCCATAGCAGCCTTATGCTAGGGGCGCAGAGCTCAGGATTTGGAATCAGAAGAAAGATCAGCAGCCTGTTTCAGTCAGTTTTCCATTCCTACAATGAAATACCAGAGGCAAGCTCCATTATAACAAAAAGAGGTCGGCTTAGCTCTTGTGTTTGGAGGCTGCAAGTGTGAGATGAGGCAGCCACATGTGTCCACCCTCCAGTGAGGGCCTCCTGATGGATGGCACCTGGATGGGTGGACATGAGAGGAGAGCACACTGCGAAGCAGAAAGCCCAAGAGCAGCTGGACTCCTGCGATTCCTTCTGTGGGCAACCCCTCAAGCACCTGTAGGGTTCCCATGAGGCCTGACTTCTTCAGGGTCCAGCCACTTCTCCCATGGCCACACTAAGGACCTAGCATCCCACACATGAAGACTTGGGGGACAAACTCAGAAAATGCCTTCGCCATGACAGTGTGCATCAGGTGTGACATGATACTCAGTCGCTGTGGCTCTTAACTTCCCCCCCACACAATGAGAACAAGTAAAACTTGCCTCCCCCTTCTCTGCCAGTTTCTCCCACTTCTACAGTATACCTCTGGGCTCCAATGGCTGTTTAAGTATTTGCTCTATGATTCTATTTCATATTTGTAACTTAACTTTTCACTTTGGAAAACATTTCTGTAATAGAAGGTTTATTTAGTGCCTCACACTGTGTCTCACTAAATCTTCACCTTGCAAGCACCAGAATCTAGTTCAGGTCTCAGATACTCCACTTCCCATCCAGCTCTCTGCTTGTGGCCTGGGAAAGCAGCCGAGGACAGCCCCAAGCCTTGGGACCCTTCACCTGCGTGGGTGACCAGGTAGAAGCTCCTGGCTCCTGGCTTCAGCTCAGCTCTAGCTCCAGCTGTTGAAAATGTTTGGGGAGTCATCCAGCAGATGAAAGATTTTTCTGTTTCTCCTCTCTGTGAATCTGCCATTCCAATTAAATAAATGTATCTCAAAATATTTATTTCCATTGGAAAGGCAGGCTTATTTACAGAGAGAAGGAGAGACAGAGAAAGATCTTCCATCTGCTGCAGGTTCACTCTTCAAATGGTCGCAACAGCCGAAGCTGAGCCTATCCAAAACCAGGAGCCAGGAACTTCTTCCAGGTCCCCCACGTGTGTTCAGGGTCCCAAGACCTTAGGCCAGCCTCTGCTGCTTTCCCAGGCCATTAGCAGGGAACTGGATTGGAAATGCAGCAGCCAGGATTCCAACCGACACCCATATGGGTTGCTGGTGGAGGATTAGCCTGTTGAGTCATAACACCAGAGTCCTATAATAATAGTTAGTTTTAGCATGAAGTAGCCATGAGTGCAGACCATGAGAAAGAGTTGATGATCAATCATTATCTTGAGGAATGAAGTTATGCAAGTCATGTTGGAAGTAGCTGTAAAGACAGTTTCCACGTGGCTACATATAGCATGGGGCTGTATGTCCTCATCTGTCCCACTGATGTTTAGGCTGGCACAGAACCAGAGAGAGACAGGGAAGACAGTCCTGCTTGTTCTTCAGTGCTATTCAACTGCTTTTTATCATAATAAAATACTGTGAACGGATAAATATTGCTGGCAGTTATTCTCCACCTCACTGCATGAAAGTCCCAGACACAATACATGATGCAGAGTCTCCTTCGACCTTGACCTTTCTTTCTGGGAATGGAGCACTGAGGTCTGGTGGGGAAACAGTCTCCTGCGACAGATGCAGAACCCCAGATGGGCAGCTCCACGGCCAGGGTGGTAGGGAGCCAGGCTTTAGTGTTGTCGCCATGGAGGAGCTAACCTTGTCCTGGTCTTACAGGCTCCGGTCAGAAGTGTATACAGGGTGAGGATGGAAGATACTTCACCCTGCGAGAATTTGAAATTGAAGGCGGCTACGTGACATCCAACAACTGGAAGCAAACCGTGCGCTGCCTCGGGTGGCCCCTGAAAATTTTGATCCAGGTATTTTGGTGACTTTGAGGTCTTGTCAATGGTTTACCATCAAGATTCACCAGTCTGGACTTTGGGGGACCTTTGCTGTGTCCACAAAGCCATCCTGACTGTACATCCTAGGGTGAAAATGCAATTGTAGCTTTACTGCACAACTCAGTATCTCCATGATTGGCTTGCTTTACAGCCTGGTCCTGTAAGTACATTAGCATGTCCCCTTCGGGGGACAGGATGGTTGGTACCTTGTGGTCTTCATTCTGCCACAAAGGAATTGTGCAGTGGGTCACATGAGGGGAGAAAGGAGTGTGCAACTTTAGGAACCAATAAATGTACCGTCATAGAATTATGTATATGGAAATGCTGAATGGTGTGGGTAGTTCCTAGATTCTAGTGTATTTCAGCTAGATGAACCAGTCAGTGTTAACCTTGAAAGAGGACATAAACAGAGTACATTATAAGTGATAGCTTTGCCCCTTCCATGAATCCCCTGGCATGGACAAGGCAGGAACAGGCTCTCCATGCAGATGAACCTGTGGAATTTCAATCCCGGATACCGAGCTCTTCCAGCACACCTCAGACAGTCCTTGCTTGTGGCATTCTTGCAATGAAGAAAGGGATTTTTGTAAAGCAAATATTTAATGAGCTCCATCTCAAGCTACAAGAGAGGACCAGGTATGAATCCCAAACCAGGGAGATGGCTGCCCCCAACCACGGAGTAGCATGGGGCGCATGCTGGAGTAAGGAGCATTGGCAGGAGGTGAGGAAGCAGCTGGATGAGGGACTGTCGTTTCTGGCTCTGAAGTCAAGGGCAGATTCCCGGGACAGTTTTCATGTCCAAGAACAGTCTGGCAAACAAGAATGATGAACAGGGCATCATATGTGCACACACAGGACAGCCAGAATTGTGCTGCGCCATATGCTGGGACACATCCGGTTAAAAAGGCTCCAGTTGTTAGCTCAGCTGATGGTAGAGGGCAGGAAGCCCTCCATCACCAGAGCATCGTGGAAAACAATCTCCATGAAGACATCTTGACTTAGAGCTGACAGTGAGACACCCAGATAGAAATTGCTAGAAGATAGTCATAGACACAAGCCTCACAGAACAAAGGCAAGATCCATGATGTCGTTGACTGTTTCTGTCTTTCAGAAAGGATTTCTGCAAAACCCACCAAGAAGCAGAAGAAAGATGACTATTAGGAGCACTGAGCGGTCTGAAGAAACAAAAACAGTAAACTTACTTACTTCGGGACTAGGGAGAGCAGCTTTCTCTGGCTCTTGCCTGTTGTCGACTTTGGGTCCCCACTCTCTCTCGTAATGACCATCAGGATCATTCCAGAAACCCCTCAAAACAAACTAACAAATAAACAAATAAACGAAAAAAAAAACTAGAATAGATGGAGAACAGCAAGGAAAGCTTAGAAACAGACAGGAAACGGGCAGTGGAGATGCACTTATAACTCACCTGGTGGGACACAAAGATTAGTTACTCCTCACTAGGGTATTGAAGATTTCTCTGCACACCCCTCCTAAAACTGTTCACCTAAACTGTTGACACATGTCTTGTTAGAGTTATAGAGTTAGACTACCTAAAAAACAGCCAGGTTCTGCAAAATCATGCTTTAACGCTATGAACTGCTAAATACTAAAATTAAGATAGACATGAGACAGCTGAATAGTAATCTGTAGTCATTTTGAGGTGTATAGAACCCAGTTGTATATAAACTAATAATTGAAATGTCAATGTAGAAGTCATAGGATATGGTTCAGAACTTGCACTCTTTTCTCTCTCTCTCTCTCTCTCTCTTTGAACATGCTGGTTACTCAATACCATGCCAACTAATTCCATTACGTTATATATTGTTACTGATGTAATGCTGGGGCTTTTAATTGATTGGGATGATACTCTGTTGGCTCTACCTTCAGAACAAAGACGGTCTCCTCATGAAACTGTCGAACTTATCTGGACAATAAGGTGCTGCACTCTATGCTTTGTAGATGCTTGCAAGGAAAGAATCTTAACTGAACAACAATGCAACAAGATGGAGGAATCCACCATGAAGGGGAGCGGGTTTTGGGGAGGGAAGGAAGGAATCCCAGTGCCTATAAAACTGTGTCGCATGATGTAATGTAATCAATAAAAAATAAAGCATAAAATAAAATAAACAATAAAAACTTAAAAAAAAACAAAATAGATTTCATAAGCAAAAAAAAAAAAAAGAAGATGACTATTGCTGACTTCCTACCAGTGTCTCATCCATCCAATCTGATTTTCTGTGATAAAATTTAGTTTTTTTCATTATGCACTTGCTGCTTCCAAACATCGCACAAGGTAGGAGGCTTTGGGCACTGGAAGCTGCAGCTGGAGATGGGAGCAGTCCTGCAGAATAAATGATCAGAGTGAGCCCCCCTGGTATGTATTTCACTGTCACGCCACCTCCAGTGGAGCTTGCGTGAGAAATCACCAGGCCGAGGCAGAAGCTTCAAGGAAGGATGCCTCCTGGACTCGGCTGCATCTCTAGTGGTCTTGGCATTCCTGACTGTGCTCTCTTTGCTCTTATCTTCATGGCTGGAATAATACTACTTGTGTTCGGCAAAGGCTCAATGTTCCTTTATAGTTCTATGAAGCCTTCTGACAGGGGACTGGACAAGGCTGGCAAGCAGTATGAGATAAAACTATCAGGTCACTAGCTTTAACAAACCTACCTGGGACTATGTTTGAGAATTCCTAAAAAGAAGATTATACTAGAAATCTATAACTTAAAAAGCCATACAGGAAGAAAAACTAAGAAAAATAGACAGGTTAACATTAAAGCCAATGTAAGGCACAAAACACAATGAGAGCTAAGCGCTTAATGATTAAAACTGCAGCTGGTGCCACACCGCGTCCACAAGAAATAGCAACTGCAGGCTGTCACCAGGCTGTTAGAGAACAATCTTTTATCAGCAGACCCACTTACCTCCCTGGAATAATTGTTTGTAGAAATGTAACCACATGAATAAACAAAGAAAACGTCCCTTTGCAATCATCTACTATATATAAGCTGATGCCTTGCTTTTGCAAAATGCACTCACATACAACTGCCTTGAGTTGTCGTGTCTGTCTGTTACTCGCTGAATCCTTGCCCATCGTTCCCGGGATCCTGTTCCCGTCGGACTGATTGCTCCCAGCTGAGCCAGTCTGTCGCATTTCACTAGAAGATCTGAAATGTCACACTTTCTTAGAACTAAGCACAGAATATGGGAATGGAGTTTAAAAAGCAAGTGTGAGTTTGAAATACATACAGGGAAGGAGCAGCTGTTTCGCTGGGAACATCCTATGATCACACTAAATGATCTAATGTAGAATTCCCCAGGGAACATACATCACCCAGTGGGGCAAACAACAAAAACACATCCTCTGCCTTTCATGCATACTCTCCCTGCACTGCACATAAGCTTGTACACACACACACACACACACACACACACACACACACACACACTCACACACACTCACACGGGAAATGCTTTTGCTTTATTACATTCTGAGAAGAACAGGACTGCAGCAGAAGTGCCCTGTAAGCCTGCTGATCTGCAGTCTCTCCTTTGTGAAGAGACCTCGGCCTATCAGAGGGGCTCTACAGACCCCATGCCATCAGTGATGGTGGAGACTCCCTCCGTGTGAGCGAGCCATTATGGAGTTCACAGACCAGCGACCTCCATGCTGTGTGGACTCCAGAGAAAGTAGTGAAAGCACTGCCTTGCCTGTCCTCGCCAAGGCTGCGGGTGAGCGAGCAAGCACGTGGTGCAGGAGTGTCAGGGAAGGACTTCCATTTCCATAACCTGTGGCATAGGTAACCTTCCACATCCCTTGCATACCAGGAAGCCAGTCCTCACAAAGCTGGCCAGGGGCCATTTTCTTCACTGACTTGATAACTAGAGATGCAGGGACAGGCTTCTACATCCACCAAGGTTTCTGGAGAGAAGTGATTTGATCTATTGATTAAGTGAGTTCAGCATAGGCTAATCAAAAGCTGGTCATCTCCCTTCCCTTCGCTTCATCACAGGTGCTCCCCCGCCATGCCCTAAGCACCTGCTCCAAAAGTGAAACCACCTCAGCTCCCAGAGGGTCACTCCACCGGGTCTTCCACCCCAGCCCTTGGCTTCTGATTCTTGTGTTATGCATCCATTCAACAAGCAACTGTGGAGCAGCTATTAGGTGCCAGGTGTTATGCTGATCAGTGGTAATGCAGAGGAGGCCAAAATGACAGAATTGTGTGAGCCTCCTGCCTGACCTGGCATAATAATACATGGTGGGGCTGGGGGAAAATGGAGTTCTGCACCACTCAAAGAGGTGGGCAGTGACATGGCCATCATCTCCAGTCTGTGTGGTCTGAGTCATACTAGGTGCTGTGGGCAGGAGGTAAGAGCTGGGGTAGCCATTGTTCTAGGCTGGAGGGAGGCCAAGCCATCCCAGATACCCAGGGTCCATGTAGCTGGGATTCAGGAGAATGTGGAGAGGTCCCATCTTGAGGAAGAAGAGCTGTGAGCACTGGAGACTCTGGGAACTTGTGGTCCTCAGCATTGCATCCCACTGAGGAGGTCTTTTGGGGGCTGCTGCATTGCTCTGAACTGAATGGTTATGAGAGTCAGTGAATGGTGACCCAGCCTGGTTTCCACGGTCCTAACTTAGAGGAAAAGGGCCAAGGGCCCCCACGTGGGAGGATCAGCACAGTGTCGTGGCTTAGTCTGGGAACCAAGGCCAGGCTCCCTGCATGGCCTCCAAAGGCCTGCACCTGGGGTTGAAGAACCAGGTCTGAAACCTACTTAAAGCCAAACCTCCATGAACACAGTAATGAATGCTTTCCATTCTCTAGTTTGACACCCAGCCACATAAACACAGATACAAAATAAAACCAAGGGAGGGAAGTGGCACAAAAGACTGAAATGTTCTGTTCAGGTGTCACAGGTTAAACTGCTGCCTACAACACTGGCATGCCATCTGAGTGCTGGTTGAAGTTCTGGCTGCTCCACTTCTGATCCTAGTCCCTGCTGATGCACCTGGGCAATGCAGCGAAAGGTGGCCCAGGCGCTTGGGCTTCTACTTCACATGGGAGAGACCCAGATGGAGTCCCAGGAGTCAGGCTTGGAGCTGGCTCAGTCCCAGCTGCTGTGATCATAGGGGAGTGAACCAGAAGATAGAAGATTCTCTGTGTGTATGTGTGTGTGTCCCTCTTCCTCTGTAAATCTAATGGATCTTTAAAAAATAATCAATGGTGCGTTATTTTTTTCAGGGTGATATAATTTGTTGTTGATGTTGTTGTTGTTGATGTGGCTATTATGAAATGATGTCAGTCCGAAACAGTAATATTATTTCAACCCAAAACAGCCTGCATCTCATGCAATAAGATATTATGAAGTAACCAATGAATCAATAATCGATATGAGTCAGACTGCTTCTGATCTACACCAAAGAATTGTAAAACCTAATATACTTGTAAGGCCCTATGCTACTCAGAAATGGGGAGAGGAGCAGAGAAATCTTACATCACCCTAGAAAGTGTGAGGAAGACGGAAAGTATAACCTATCAGGATCATAACTGATAACTTATAGACAACAGACTCAAATCAGCATTAGACAATAGCAAAACTACAAAGGCATATGGGGGGAATCAGGAGCAATCCCAACAACCTCTTAACAGGAGGTCATATGCACAGAGCAGGGGGGACCCCAGAGTGGAGCAGGCAGACAGGAGGAGGCTTGTATCCCAACCCTGAAGACTCCTAGATCCTCACCAAGGACTATCAATATGAGCGCCGAGGACTACATCCCAACCGCCAAGACCACAGGGAATTGGAGTGCCTTCGAAGGCTGAGAAATCTGAGGTCACCCACCTGCATCTGGATCTCCCACATGGGATGGAAGAAGCCCAAATCCTGCCTTGCAGGATCCAAGGTCATCGGAACGACAACCAGGAGCACTGAGTGGTCTGCAGAAACAAAAACAGTAAACTTACTTACTTCGGGACTAGGGAGAGCAGCTTTCTCTGGTTCTTGCCTGTTGTCGACTTTGGGTCCCCACTCTCTCTCGTAATGACCATCAGGATCATTCCAGAAACCCCTCAAAACAAACTAACAAATAAACAAATAAACGAAAAAAAAAAAACTAGAATAGATGGAGAACAGCAAGGAAAGCTTAGAAACAGACAGGAAACGGGCAGTGGAGATGCACTTATAACTCACCTGGTGGAACACAAAGATTAGTTACTCCTCACTAGGGTATTGAAGATTTCTCTGCACACCCCTCCTAAAACTGTTCACCTAAACTGTTGACACATGTCTTGTTAGAGTTATAGAGTTAGACTACCTGAAAAACAGCCAGGT